AATAAATCCTTACCAAAAAAACACTCTAATATTTAAAAAAAATTTGTTTTTTTTTGTTTTGTTTTTTTTTTTTTTTTTTTGACAGGCAGTGTGGACAGTGAGAGAGAGAGAGACAGAGAGAAAGCTCTTCCTTTGCGGTTGGTTCACCCTCCAATGGCCGCCGCGGCCAGCGTGCTGTGGCCGGCGCACCGCGCTGATCCGATGGCAGGAGCCAGGTACTTCTCCTGGTCTCCCATGGGGTGCAGGGCCCAAGCACTTGGGCCATCCTCCACTGCACTCCCTGGCCACAGCAGAGATCTGGCCTGGAAGAGGGACAACCGGGACAGAGTCCGGTGCCCCGACCGGGACTAGAACCCGGTGTGCTGGTGCCGCAAGGCGGAGGATTAGCCTAGTGAGCCGTGGCGCCGGCTATACTCTAATATTTTTTAGAACTTAAGCAGTATCAAAATTTTCTATTAAGAGAGTCATTATTTTAACTTATCTCCTTTAGAAAAACAAAATATTGAAATTGCTGAATTATGTTTATTTATTTTAACTTCTATTGAAATTTTTGTTGTTATTATTTAGTATGTGTGAGTTTTATTAAGTGGTCTTTATTTACACATGTCCCAAAATATGTATAATAAGCTCCCTTGATTTTCTTAGAATAGTTCTTTTAAAATATACTTATTTTGAAAATTTATCATTACTTATTAATGTCTCAGCATAAACTATAACAGTATTAAATTTTATGTTGACTTATTCTCTTGTTACATAGTACATTTAATTTTATAATAGCCCCATATGCCTTTCATGTAGATACAGTGGATATTTTCTTTTTTTTTTTTAATTTATTTTTATTTTTATTTTTTTGACAGAGTGGACAGTGAGAGAGAGAGAGAGACAGAGAGAAAGGTCTTCCTTTTGCCGTTGGTTCACCCTCCAATGGCCGCCGTGGCCGGCGTGCTGCGGCCGGCGCACCGTGCTGATCCGATGGCAGGAGCCAGGTACTTATCCTGGTCTCCCATGGGGTGCAGGGCCCAAGCACTTGGGCCATCCTCTACTGCACTCCCTGGCCACAGCAGAGAGCTGGCCTGGAAGAGGGGCAACCGGGACAGAATCCGGCGCCCCTACCGGGACTAGAACCCGGTGTGCTGGTGCCGCAAGGCGGAGGATTAGCCTAGTGAGTTGCGGCGCCGGCCCAGTGGATATTTTCTTAATTTTGATTTTCAAAGAAAAGATTCATTGCCTTCTGGATACACATGTGTATTCAAAAAGTGCCTTTATTGGCTGGTGCCGTGGCTCACCTGGCTAATCCTCCGCCTGCTGGCACCCTCCCGGTTGGGGTGTTGGTTCTGTCCCAGTTGCTCCTCTTCCAGTCCAGCTCTCTGCTGTGGCCCAGGAAGCCAGTGGAGGATGGCCCAGATCCTTGTGCCCTGCACCCGCTTGGGAGACCAGGAGGAACCTGGCTCCTGGCCTCGGATCAGCACAGTGTGCCAGCCGCAGCGGCCATTTGGGGGGTAAACCAACGGAAGGAAGACCTTTCTGTCTGTCTCTCTCACTGTCTAACTCCGTAACTCCGTCTGTCAAAAAAAAAAAAAAAAAAAAGTGCCTTCATTATTAAATTTTTCCTTTGAAAATTCTTCCTTATAAATACTTTTACTCTGGTTTTAAAAAGTGAAATCCTTTGCAAACAATTACTTAACTTTCTTTTCTGGTTGGCTTAATTAACCATAGAATACATATTTTTTTTCTTAAATTTATTTATTCATTTGAGTGATAGAGGTCTTCCATTCCCTAGTTCACTGCCCAGATGGCTGCAACGGCTGGAGCTGTGCTGATCCGAAGCCAGGAGCCAGGTGCTTCCTCCCGGTCTCCCATGTGGGTGCAGAGCCCCATAGCAGAGAGCTGGATTGAAGTGGAGCAGCTGGGACTTGAACCGGTGCCCATATCGATTTTGGCACTGCAGGTTGCGGCTTTGTCACAGCTCCAGCCCCCATCATTTTTTTTTTTAAGTTTATTTGAAAGAGTTACAGAAGGCAGAGGCAGAGAGGGAAGTCTTCTATCTGCTCATCTATTCCCCAAATGGCTGCTACCTCTGGACCTGCGCCGATCTGAAGCCAGGATCTAGAAGCTTCCTCTGGGTCTCCCACACAGGTGAAAGGGCCCAAGGACTTTGGCTATTTTCTGCTGCTTTCCCAGGCCATACCAGAGAGCTGGTTGGGAATAGGAGCAGCTGGGACACAGACTGGTGCCTGCTATCCACAGCGCCTGCCCTGCGTACATAATTTTTTTAAAGTAGATTATTTTTGTTATAAAAGGAAAGTCAAATATTTTCTATTTGGAAAGCCCTGTCTTTGTTTTATGGGTATAGGTGTTTGTTAACTGAGGAGCCATTAATAAAGATAAACTTGATTTTTTTTTAACTAGTAATGTTATAGACACCTTTTTAATTGGTTCATAAGTTGATTCTTTTAATGCCTTGTTTTGTTTTCAAGATTTATTTATCTGAGAGGCAGTGTTACAGATACAGGGGGAGGCAGAGACGTCTTTTCATCTAATCTTCCCCAATTTGCCACAATGGCCAGAGTTGAGCTGATCAGAAGCCAGGAGCTTCTTCTGGGTCTCCCATGTGGTGGTAAGGGCCCAAGTGCTTGGGTCATCTTCCACTGCTTTCCCTAGCTATTAGCAGGGAGCTAGATCATAAGTGGAGCAATTGGCATTTAAATCAACACGCATATGTGATGTCAGCACCACAGTCGAAGATGTAACCTCATACAGCACAGCACTGTCCCCCTTTTAATCCCTTTTTTAATGAACAATGATTAATCCAAATAATGTACTATTTGTTTTTTCTGATGTGACTTCAGTAGACTGTCGTTTTCTTCATATTATGGTTGCTTTGGAGTCAAACAAATGTATTAGACCAAGAAAATTAGTATCATATGCCATATGCACAATGCAAAGTGTTATATAAGGTGCATAATGGTCTTAAAAGTGATTACTATTTTTCCTTTGCATTTTAAAAGCTTACTAGGTTCAAACTTTTACAAAATATTCTGTCAGAGCTGTACAACTGTGATGTGACAACATTGGTAGATAGCCTGGGCATGTGGTTGATTAGTCCTCCCCTACCCAAGAAGAAGTTGAAAAAAGGTTGCCTCAATATCACATGAAGGATATGTTCATGAACATCTGTCCGATTTCCTTTGGCATCACTAAGTTGGACTATTTTTGAGTCTTTTTATCTATACTACTCTATAGTTCTAGAAACATTCATTGTAGTTTATTTATAATGTAGTAGCTTTTTTCTCTTGTAATTTTGAGTGAACCTAGATAAATAGATCAGTTAACAAAATGTGGCTAAATTTTGAATTTATTAAAATCTTGTTTCGGGGTAAATTTCATTTTATGGTTACTTAGAACAGGTCATGTCACTTTTTTTATTTGCCTGTTAAAACATTGAAAAAGACTTGAATCCTGAGAGCTCTACTTGTAGGCTTTCATTTGAGGCACGTGCTAAGCTATATGGCTATTTAAGGCCTGTGCTAATCTGGAGAAACAATTCTGTTCTTTCCGGGCTTTGAATTGTTTTAAAGTAGATTTGAATCAGTCGTCTTCCTTTGTTGTCCTACCATCTTCCCACTCTCTTCAAAGGTAGGAAATAATTCTGTTTCATTTTATGATTTACTTTCTTGCTTTATGATAAATTTTTGTATGTAATTAGACATTAGTTTTCTTTAATATGATTACATTTTAAGGAAAATTATTCTTTTCTAATATTGTCACCATCTGAAACAGCATTAATAAAGTTCCATTGTATTCATTTCTTCTTTTCAAGAAGCCAAAGGAAAAGGCTACTTTTCTTTTTGAGGAGGTCTTGTTAGTGGTATTAACTACTTCCTGGGCAGAGCTCTTCATTTTATGCTGGTATTTTCTCTTTTGTCCAAACAATAAAGCTTTGAGAAAACGGCTGTTCTTCTGAAAGTTAGGTCATTCCTGGATTTGGTGAACTGTATCTCCTTCTTTATACTTGATTTTTAATAAGAAATAAAATTAGCACTTTTCTCTTTTCTAAGCATTTCTTAGGATATTACTAATAAAACTCACTTTGTTCTAGATCAGTGGATACCGGAACAGAAAGGAGGTATTTCTTACCTGATAATGTGTGTGTGTTCCGATTCTGCTAATCCAGAATTCCAATCACATCTGTTAAAAATCATCCTTAGTTGTTATTTGTTAGGGAGTCAACTCCCTATTTTAGTTATTTCTGAAATTCAGTCCTTAGATGTGCTTTAGATAGGGTAGAATTTTTACCTCTTTCAGAACACTGCTAAAGAAGTTTTCAACTGGAACATAGTATGAAGAAGCACTGAGAGCAAAAATTCAGAGTGGTGATTGGCCACCTCTGTTTGATTGACAGGTTGCAGGGAGAAACCCATTCGTTCTGGATTAATGGAACTGGAAAACAGAAAACAGTTATCAGGTAAAAAAACCCTTTTCTTTAACCTTTGAAATTCATCATTGAAAATATGAGTCAGACCACCAGGGAATATTACCAAAAGGAATAAAACTTAGTGTCTTATGAGCAGTAATCTTTGGCTACTACTTTGAAAAGTTACCAAAAAAATCACTATAGTTGTTAGATGTTGTCAGCCTTTGCAGAATGGGTATGATTGAATGGAGATAAATGGAATGTGAAGTGCAGTCCTGTTTTAAATCTGGGTTAAAAACTTGAAGCAGATTTCTTTGGGGTTGGGAGGAGATTGGTATTCTTTTATTGCCTGAATTGTGTTTGGTCCATTAATAAATAAAGTACTTTGTTTTTTAGAGGTATTAATCTGGCACTTTCAGTGATTATTCACAGATTTTATTGCTGTACTGTGCTTGCTGTACTTAAACACTACTTCATTAGGATGTATTCTTACACATCTTTTACCATAGAAAATTTTAATAACAGTACTGACCAATTCTTTATATTTTAGTGATAATTTTCTGATTGTTGGTTAAATATATTTCAGATTGAAGGCCAAGGACATGGTGCAGTATTTGACTGCAAATGCTCCCCTGATGGTCAGCATTTTGCATGTACAGACTCTCATGGACATCTTTTAATTTTTGGCTTTGGGTCCAGTAGCAAATATGACAAGGTAGTGTATGTTGAATATACATCATCCCCTTACTTTTTATTTTTATTGATGTTTAAGGAATTGTATATTTTTGGAGTAAGAGTCAACATATTTTGACATCAAAATAAAGTATGAAAAATCATTTGTAAAATAATTTTAAATAGTCTGCAGACTCATGTATTAGAAAGGAGCATGCAGGCAGCAGTTGTTAAATCTGTTTTTTCTAATAAACATTAGATAATAATTATGTTTTACTTTTTAAAAATATTCATATTGGAGTGCTTAATTTGGAGTCGGTATAAGCTGAGGATGGAAGCTATCCATAGAGGGGTCTTTGACATTATATAAAGTTTTTTATTTGTTTAAATAACATGTTTTTTCTAGGATAATCTGTGTTAAAAATCTCTGGCTTTCATGACCTACTCTGATTTTTCCTTATGACCCTGTCTTTAAGATTAGTGACGAAGAGAATGAAATTGCAAATTATTGGTGGAGTTGATAGTAAAAATTGAATAGTTAATAATTGAGTTTAACATTCTAAATTAACCAGTAAAATTTTGTTAGAATTGTGTAAGGCTTAATATTATTAATTTTATATTACCTCAGAAATTTTAGAGAAAATAAGCCATACTACCATATATATTAAAGTATGGTAACTGTGAAAGTAAAAGTACCGTTGAATTACTTATGTCTGGATTTGATTTTACTATGTAACTTGAAATTAAGTAACTTATTTTTCATGGTAACTTCTGTAAATAACACACACACACACACACACACAAATACATACACACAGTCTCTCCTTTTTGCAGAGAAAATGTAAAATAGCTACTTTTCTGATCATAAAATTTAATGTAGAAAACAGAAATATTTGTTTACCATTATTTCAAGAAAAAAATACTCTTTTAATTGTTTCTTAACACCATGATTTGTATTAAAATATTTATTAAAATATTTGTTTTCATTAGAAGTGTTGTAGATTTTTTTTTTTTTTTGACAGACAGTGTGGACAGTGAGAGACAGAGAGGTCTTCCTTTGCCGTTGGTTCACTTTCCAATGGCCGCCGCGGCCAGCGCACCGCGCTGATCCGATGGCAGGAGCCAGGTGCTTTTCCTGGTCTCCCATGCGGGTGCAGGGCCCAAGCACTTGGGCCATCCTCCACTGCACTCCCGGGCCATAGCAGAGAGCTGGCCTGGAAGAGGGGCAACCGGGAGAGAATGTGGTGCCCCGACCGGGACTAGAACCCGGTGTGCCAGCGCTGCTAGGTGGAGGATTAGCCTATTGAGCCGCGGCGCCGGCCAGATCTTTTTATACAATGATAAATTTTTATTTTCTGTCTTTTATGAACTTTTTTTTTTTCTTTTTTTTTTTTTTACAGATAGCAGATCAGATGTTCTTTCATAGTGATTATCGGCCCCTTATCCGTGATGCCAACAATTTTGTATTAGATGAACAGACTCAGCAAGCACCTCATCTCATGCCTCCCCCTTTTTTGGTTGATGTTGATGGTAATCCACATCCATCAAGATACCAGAGATTAGTTCCTGGTCGTGAAAATTGCAGAGAGGAACAGCTCATCCCGCAGATGGGAGTAACTTCCTCAGGTATGTGCTCATTTTCATAGACAACCAAATTGTCCTTTTCCCACTGAAATTTCATAAAATTGCTAATTGAAGAAAACCTTATTTTGGGCAAATCAGAAATAAAAAAACTATTTTATACTTCCTTAAAGTCCTTTGAATAATACTTTAGAATTAAAGATAATTAAGGAACAGTAAAGATGTAAAGCAATAATTTTGGTTTATATCTATTTACAACTTCTAGGGACTAATGTTTGGTATGAGATGAGTCAATTTATTTACTCATTTAGCAACACTTATTGGGGACCTCTACTGTACTGACACAGCCAGGGTTGAGCCAGGCCAAAGCCAGGAGCCAGGAGATGGCAGTTCTAGGCCTCCCGTGTGGGTGCATGTGCCCAAGGATATGGGCCATCCTCCACTGCTTTTCCCAGGTGCATTAGGAGGGAATGGGATTGGAAGTGGAACAGCTGGGACTTGAACAGGACCTCCATATGGGATGGCAATACTGCAGGTGACCATTTAACCTGCTACACCACAACGCTGGCACCCAGCAGGCTAATTGTTGATATTTTTGTATAGCCCACAAATGATGTTATAAATATTCAAATCTCCATTGGCAGAAAAAAGCTTCCCCACCCCTGGTGTAAATAGATCAATAAACACAATTATAGAAAGAAACATAGTTTAGCATTGTGGTGAATGTTATTAAAGGGAATAATAGCACGATGTGAGAGGGAATAAGACTAAATGGCCTGTTTTCATTTAAGAGTGCTTTAAGAAGTGATCAATTTTGAATACTTGTAAAAAGTAAAGATAGGGCTAAAAAATCTTGAGCTGTTTGTGTGACATGTGAAGTAATGGAATGTGAAAGTCAAGTTAGTTGAAGAATTGAATAGGAATTAAAATGAGAACACGGTCTATGCATGCATCCTCTTCCTTTTTTTGACAAGAAGTATGGCATTAACTTCTTAAGTGAAAATAATGGGAAGCTGTTCTTTGAATCCTTCTATTTTTAGAGTAGAAAATGTTTATGAAAAATAATTTAAATTATAGACTGTGACGTAGTTGCAAAACCCTAAGTAGGTTATCTTAAAGGATTGAACATGAAATTGCAATGAAGATGGACATATTGGATGGAAAAGGCTGTTCTTGGAGTTAGATACTTAGATTTAGTATGGAGAATAAGGAGAAATATTAGAAGAATTGTCTGCTGCCACTTGTAGAGAGTCTTACGGTCCAGCAGATTTTGAATGTCTGGAGTACATGAAACTAATGGGTCTCAGTATATGGACATAGCATGGAATCTAAGAGCAAGTAGTACCCAAGAAGTCTAGGCAGGTATTCAGATTGGGAAAATCTTAAGTTTTATAAAAGTACTGATTATAAGACTGACATTTAAGAGACATGTCTTCAGTTACTTGGAAAGGAACTAGCAAGAAGCTGGTTTTGCCTGTGTCTTAAATCAGTATCTAGGCTGGGTTTCAGGCACAGGAATATAAGGGAACGATTCATTTATTAAAATATCAGTGCGGGAGCCACCATCCCATATGGGCACCGGTTCTAATCCCGGCTGCTCCTCTTCCAATCCCGCTCTCTGCTGTGGCCTGGGAAAGCAGAAGATGGCCCAAGTGCTTGGACCCCTGCAACTGTATGGGAGACCAGGAAGAAGCACCTGCCTCCTGGCTTCAGGTCAGCACAGCTCCAACTGTTGTGGCCATTTGGGGAGTGAACCAACACAAGGGAGACCTTTGTCTCTGTCTCTCCCTCTCACTGTCTGTAACTCTACCTCTCAAATCAATAAATCAATAAATAAATCTTTAAAATATCAGTGTGACTTAGTTATTAGCTTTATTATTTCATTTTTTCCAATTAAAGTTTATAAAGGGCCTTCATAAATAACATTTATTTAGCTTTTAAAAAATTATTTATTTATTTTGAAATTCAAGAGTTAGAGTAAGAAGGAGAGAGCTTTTCCATCCGCTGATTCACTCCCCACCCAGGTGGTTGCAACAGCTAGTGCTGGGCCAGGCCGAAGCCAATAGCCAAGAGCTTTATATGGATCTGCCACGTGAGTGGCAGGGGCACATCTTCTGTTGCTTTACCTAGGGCATTAGTATGGAACTGGATTGGAAATGGAACAGCCAGTACACAAACCAACATCCTGTACCTTTTATGCCACAATGCCAGCCCAGCCCCAAGAACATCTTATTTAATCCTTAAACCTATGCTATCCTAATCCTAAAAATTGAGACAATGAAAATTTAACAGTATTCCATTATATAATCATAGGGATTTGAATCCCAGCTCATTGAATTACCAGTTCATTATTCATTCTTCCATACCAATTTGCTCTTAGAGTATAAAGAAGGTATAATCTGAAAAATTAAATAGATAACAGTTATTAATGCTGAGCCACAACTGAACATATAGCAGTAACTCTGGCTTCATAGTGAGTCATGAAATTTCTCAGTGTGCTAACTTACAGAATTCAGAGTAAACCTTTTTTATGTCAGACTTATATATAAAAATAATTAATATAAAAGTAGAACAAAATACTTTTTGTAAAAACTCCAGCCTTATTACTAATTGTAAATCTACTTGCAAATATAGTTCTCTCTCTAATAAAATTTATTTTCAGAAATCTCTTAGAATTAGGTAGAAATAAATGTTGGCTACTATAATAATAAATTGATTTTATGCGGTTTTGTTATTGATACTAGACAACACACTTTAATGTTCTTTCTCAGTGGTACCTTGAGCCATATTAGATTACTCATCGGTATTCAAATATAGTAATGTTTCCTCAGCAGCAGACCAGCAAAGAGACATGTTAAAGACATTTTGATCTGTTTTGTGATTTTGGACAAATTAGGTAGTCCTGTTGAATTTTATTTTTTGTAAAATGAACTAACATTATGTGCTTAGTACATGTAATTTCCTGTCTTTGCTACTTTATTGTTACTACTTTGTTTCAAGGTATCTTGGTATTTTCTCTTCCAAATTTAAGGGCACCCTAATTTTCTAATGTGATCAGATCTTCTCTGTATATCTGTACTCCTGACACTAATTGCTCCCTTTTCCAAAGTTTACTACATTTAGACACTATTAAGATGAGTAAAACGGGGGTGGTATTGTGGCGTAGTGGGTAAAGCTGCCGTCTGCAGTGCCAGCATCCCATATGGGCGCAGGTTTGAGTCCTGGCTCCTCCTCTTCTGATCTAGCTCTCTGCCATAGCTATCATAGAAGATGATAGCCCAAGTGCTTGGGCCCTTGCATCCACATAGGAAGCTCCTGGCTCCTAATCAGTGCAGCTCTGGCTGGTGCGGCCAGTTGGGGAATGAGCCAGTGGATGGAAGACCTCTCTCTCTCCCTGCCTCTCCTTCTCTCTCTGTGTAACTCTGACTTTCAAATAAATGAATAAATCTTTAAAAAAAAAAAGTAAAACAGTACATGTTTTTGAGGAACTAACTAGTGGGTTTCTCTTAGGTACGAAGCTAATTAGTATGAAGCTAATATATAGAGTAGTTAAGTAACTGAAAGGATAGCAATTTAATTGTTTCAGTCTTTCAGTGGTAATCTGCAAGGACTTCACAAAGGAAATACAGAGGTTTTATTTCATTCATGCTTGAAGGATGAGTTAATCAAATTTATTGTATTGTGACCAAAAGTTCAGAAGCATGAAGGTGTTTTCCTATTAAGGAGGCTGAAAAGTCAGGTGGTCCCGTATGACTGGTGTAAGTGAAAGTTGATGCTAGAAAAGTAAGGGTGCATTAAAATACCCCAGGTGCCTCTCTCCCTTTGAGTCTTTGTACTTCTTGTCCTCTATCTGGATTACCCCTTTTCTAACTTTTCACATGAACTGATTGAAGCCTTACCACAAATGCTCCTTCTCAGAGAGGACTTCTTTGACTTCTGATTCACTATAGATATTTCCTATCTGTCTTCTTCCTCCTTATCTTTATTTTAATACTTTTCATAATCTGCACTAATGTACAGGTTTAGTGTCTACCTATTCTTCTGTAAAGGGCAGGGATCTTATTAACCACAGGATCTCTGGTACTTGGGCTCCTAAGTGAGGTTGATGAGTAAAGTGGTTTAATAGTGACTAAAATGTTCTTTGCATTTTGTTTGGTTTTACATAGGACTGAACCAGGTTTTAAGTCAGCAAGCAAACCAGGAGATCAGCCCACTGGACAGCATGATTCAAAGACTACAACAGGAGCAAGACTTGAGACGTTCTGGTGAAGCAGGTATCAATAATAACAGCCGTTTAAGTAGAGGTAAGCAAGGACTCTTTTAAGTGAAATAATAAAAAATTTGAAATAGCCTATGCCTTCATCGGTAGAGAATTGATGAAATAGATTATGGTATGTCCACAGAATGAAAGGTTAGAATGCCATATGATCAGTTTGAAGAATATTTAGTATTAGATAATATTCATACTATGAGATTCCAAATTTTTAAAAATCATCTCCAAATTTTCTGTCATAAACATGTACAGATTTAAAATTTTTATTTTTTATTTTTTATTTTATTTTATTTTTTTTTTTTATTTTTTTGACAGGCAGAGTGGACAGTGAGAGAGAGAGACAGAGAGAAAGGTCTTCCTTTGCCGTTGGTTCACCCTCCAATGGCCGCCGCGGCAGGCGCGCTGCGGCCGGCGCACCGTGCTGATCCGATGGCAGGAGCCAGGAGCCAGGTGCTTTTCCTGGTCTCCCATGGGGTGCAGGGCCCAAGCACCTGGGCCATCCTCCACTGCACTCCCTGGCCACAGCAGAGGGCTGGCCTGGAAGAGGGGCAACCGGGACAGAATCCGGCGCCCCGACCGGGACTAGAACCCGGTGTGCCGGCGCCGCTAGGCGGAGGATTAGCCTAGTGAGCCGCGGCGCCGGCCCCAGATTTAAAATTTTTAAGAAAATCAATTTATTCAGAAATTTATGGTTTATGGTCAAAGCCAAATTTTTTAACATCTCATTACCCTTACTGTTGTATATTATTAAATTTTAAAGTTAAAAAGATTCATTCACTTATTTGAAAGGCAGAGTTAGACAGAGGGGCAGAGAGAGAGCGAGTGAGCTTCTATTTGCTGATTCCCTCCCCAAATGACTTCAAGGAGCAGGCAGAAGCCAGGAACCTGGAACTCCATCTGGGCCATCTTCCACTGCTTTCCCAGCCTTATTAGTAGGAAGGTAGATAGGAAGTGGTGTAGCCAGGACTGTAACCTGTGCCCACATGAAATGTCAGCGTTTCGATGGCAGCTTAACCTGTGCCATAATGCCGGCCCCAGCTTTTTTTTTCCTTAGGTAATGATTTTAGATCTAATGGTTCATAGTTATGATTCATTGACTTGTCAACTGAATAACCAGGTTTTGTTTGGGAACTTGTATGTATGATTTAGCTCTTGATTTGGTAATTTAATTATTTGTCACAATATGAAGCTTCATGTGAAAGATAATACAGTATTTTTTTTCTGTTACAAACTAATGGGAAGTGTCTCTAAATAGAACCTACTATACTAATTTTCTCATTTAGGCTCCTTAAGTTCTACCTCAGAGGTTCACTCACCACCAAATATAGGACTGAGGCGTAGTGGACAAATTGAAGGTGTACGGCAAATGCACAGCAATGCACCCAGAAGTGAAATAGCCACAGAGCGGGATCTTGTAGCTTGGAGTCGAAGGGTGGTAGTACCTGAGCTATCAGCTGGTGTAGCCAGGTAAGAGAAACTATGAGTTTTTAATTTTATACCTTTTAAGATTTTTATTTATTTGAGAGGCAGAGTTACAGAAAGGGAGGGAGAGACAGAAAAAGGTCTTCCATCTGCTGGTTCACTCCCCAGAGGTCGAAATGGCCAGAGCTGAGCTGATCCAGAGCCAGGAGCTTCTTCTGGGTCTCCCACGTGGATGCAGGGGCCCAAGCACTTGGACCTTCTTCCACTGTTTTGCCAGGCCATAGCAAAGAGCTGGATTGGAAGAGAAGCAGCTGGGACATGAACCGGTACCCATATGGGATTCCCACACCATAGGCAGAGGCTAAGCCCACTAAGCCACATCACTAGCATGAAACTGAATTTTTAAGCACCATATTTGCTTGTGTTCATCTTGAATTAATATTGTTCAAAGTACTTCCCAAATTTATAATTTCTCTTTGAAAACCTAGTATTTTAGACTATCCTTGATTGTAGAATTTCTAAAATTGTTAAATTTCTAAGTATGTCTTTTTCTAGAATGTCTTATAGAAATGATTTGAGATGGAATATATTAAGTTGAATTTGGATTGACCAAATCAAAAATTTTACTGACATTTTAAATTTGAGTTTTTCCTGTTTATATAAAGCACATTTCCAAAAGTTTGTCATAATTGGGGCTGGCACTGTGGCATATAGCAGGGTATGCTGGTGCCCATATGGGTGCAGATTTGTCCTGACTGCTTCATTTTTGATTCTACTCTCTGCTAATGTGCCCAGAAAAGCAGCAGAAGATGGCCCAAGTGCTGGTTCCCCTACCACCCACATGGGAGACCCCTGAACTCCTGGCTTTTTGTTGGCACGGCCCTGGCCATTGTGGGTATTTAGAGAGGAACCAGTAGATGGAAGATCTCTTTGTGTCTTCCTTAATTTTGCCTTTTAAATAAATAAATCAGACATTTTTTTAAAAAAGTTTGTGATGATTAAGTTTCAAGTTAGTTTTTGTTCCTTCACATACAGAAGCACAAAGGAGAATAATTTTTATTGGTGTATATGTATGTATTTTCATATGTTAAAATGAATGTTTATTTAAAATGATGCATATATTAATTGAAAATATTTGGTATAATCCTATTACAGTCCATAAAATGAGACACCTTTTTATTTTGTTCCTCTTAATTCTTTTATTTTTTTAAGATATATTTATTTGAAAGGCAGAGTCACGCAAAGAGAGATCTTCCATCTGCTAGTTCTCTTCCGCCAAATGGCTGCATTGGCCAGGCTAGTCCTGGCTGAAGCCAGGAGTCTAGAATTCCATCTAGGTCTCCCATGTGGGTGGCAGGAGCCCAGATACTTGGATTGTGTTCTGCTGCTTTCCCAGGTGCATTAGCAGAGAGCTACATTGGCTGAGTAGCTGGGACTATGAAATGGAGTTATCAGTGTTAAAAGTGGCAGCTTAAACCACTGCACCACCATGCTGGCCTCTTCTTGATTCTTCATTTGTGAAATACCCATGAATGAGGTTCATGTGAACCTAATGAACAATGCTGACATATACTGTATTAAAAAGTATGACAACCAAAGTGTGAATTTGGTTTGAAGGTTTTATAATACTTAAAAGCTAATAGTAATTATATAATTAAAATATATTTTAGACTTAGTGTTCTTACAAATTAAGCTTTTTGATAAGACATATCTCAAATTTGTCTTGGGATTTAAAATTAAATATACTACTGAATTGTAAATTTGAGCAATGACTTTACCATATGAAAAGTATATCCAGATGTTCTTAATAAAAAACTAACTCCCATAGGTATTTTTAGTTTAATTCCTGTGCAGATTTTAAGTCTGATGTTAAGGTTTTAAGGGGGTCTTATGAAAATACTCATCTTTTCTGAATAATAGAACCAAGGATAAGAAGCATAGAAAATCAACATAACTTGTTATTACTGATATTGCTTTGAAGATTGTGGCTTTTATCTGCTTGGAAATGTGCTTCCTAATACTAAACCTCCAAAGTGGGCAGCACTGGATCCCCCAGTATGTCTTCCCATGTGATATATTTGCTTTTTAATGTAGTACAGAATGCATGTGTTACATGCAATGGCATAGAACTTCCCATTTTAAGCTGATTTTCTTTCTAGAGCATATAAATCGATGAGTTCATTCCTTCTTTCTTGGAGAAGGTATGAGGGGCGTTGCTAGTTGGTGATTCAGGTTCCTTTCCTGCACATGAAGAGAAACATGATAAATGAGAATTTGTTTCTCTTCAAGTAATTTTTACCTTTTTGTCTTTGGTTTTAAACCATTAAAGCCTGTAGTCAAGCAAGGCTGTGGTTGTCATGTTAAATATTATTCTTACTTCAGCCTTCTTAGAGCATCTAGATATTTAGAATTCTTCCTTTGGGAAACTTTCTGGGATACACTATTAGGTAGTTTAACATTTCTTTCTAAAAAGCTCTGAAATGAGTCATACTAGTTCATGAATTAAAATTATATACAATTACACATTTTAACAATATACTAATATCTTTAACATATAAATTACTATGAAATTTAGCAGCAAACAAAGTAATTGAATCAGCAAATTTCACCAAAGAAGATGGCAAATCAGTACATAAAAACATATTCAACATCACTAGCCATTTAGGGAAATGCAGATTAAAAACCACAGTGAAAAATTAGTACATATCTATCAGGCTGAATTAAAAGGGAAGATTACTTAAACATTGCTGGTAGGAGTATAAGATGATGCACCCATTGTGCAAGAGTTTTGAACTTCCTTAAATACCTAAATACACAATTGCAGTTATGACCCAGTACTTGTACTCTTGGAAATTTATCACAAAGAGATAAAAACTCATGTTCACACAAAAGCCTGTACACAAATGTTATGGAGTTTTATTTTTAAGTTTATGTATTTTATTTTATTTATTTGAAAGGGGGAGGGAGAGAGAATGGTCTTCATCTACTAGTTCATTCACCAAATGCCTGCAACAACCATGGTTGGGCCACACTGAAGGCAAGAGTGAGGAAGTCTATCCAAGTGTCCTACATGGGTGGCAGGCACCCAACTACTTCAGCCATCATTTGCTGCCTTCCAGGGTATCTTAGAAAAGATCTAAGAAGCTAGATCAGAAGTGGAGGCAAGACTTAATCTCAGGTACTCAGTACCAGTATGAGATGTGCAATTTCCAGGCAGCAGCTTTACCTTTAATAGCCAAAACTTGGGGGAAAAACTCAAATGTCCTTCAGAATGCATGGTTAAACTGTGATCCATCCATACTATAGAATATTACTCTGGCATGAAATAGGAACAGTCTGTTGATAAATCAGTTGAATGAATTGTGAGGGAATTATGTTAAATGAGAAAAATATCCCAAAGGTTACATGTTACATGATTCTATTTATGGAATTTTTTTAAATGAAAACATAGAAATGAAAAAGAATCGTTGCTAATATTTGGGGAGAGGTACAGTTGAAGTGAAGGAGGTAGAGGATGAGTGTAATATAAGGATACCACAAGGGATCTTTGTGCTTATGTAGTAAGTATTCTGTGATTTGACATCATGATGGTTGACATAGAGCTCCATATGTGATAAATTTGCATAGAACTCTTCCCAGCCCACCTCACCCTCTCCCACTCACCTAGCTGCACAAACTCAAAAAATAGTAAAACTGAGAACTTGAGTGGGTTAGTGGATTTCATCAGTTAGCATCTGTACTATAGTTTTGTAATATGTTGCCATTCTGAGTAACTGAATAGAGGATACATGTGAACCAATAATCATTTCAATAAGAAGCTTATTTTGAAAAACAACAAAATTCAAGGTCATCCTTTTCACTGCATTAAAATTCACTTCGTATTTTCTGTTCAAAAATATGACTAAGCCACATTGGAGATTCTTCAGTTAAGTAAGATGATAACATTACTATATTCTTGTCATAAAATATAATATGTAGGGGCTCTGATATTGACTATTAACTCCTTTGCCACATGAAATCGGGGAGAGAAATTAAATGCCTTTACAATTCAAAAACTTTGAAGCTGTAAGAAATTAAAGTAAAAAGTAAAATTTTCTTGTTTTTGCATTCAGGTTCTATGAAATTAAAGTTCAGCCAGCGCCGCGGCTCACTTGGCTAATCCTCTGCCTGCCCGGTACCCCAGGTTCTAGTCCCGGTTGGGGTTCTGGATTCTGTCCCGGTTGCTTCTTTTCCAGTCCAGCTCTCTGCTGTGGCTGTGGAAGGCAGTGGAGGATGGCCCAAGTGCTTGGGTCCTGCACCCGCATGGGAGACCAGGAGGAAGCAACTGGCTTCTGGCTTCTGGTTTCGGATCGGTGCAGCACGCCGGCCGTGACAACCATTTTGGGGGTGAACCAATGGAAAAAGGAAGACCTTTCTCTCTTCTCACTGTCTAACTCTGCCTGTCAAAAAAAAAAAAAAAAGAAATTAAAGTTCAAAATTAATATTTCTCAACTTCTCTTCAGTTTCACCTAGATGTTTGGGTAGAGTTGAAGTTTTTTTCTGAACATTGAAGCCTAGTCTTTATTTTTTCATAGCTTTGAGAATTACCATTTCAGCTTCAAGACTCTTGTGCCTCATCTTTAAAAGATTGCACTTTCACTCATGTTTTCAAAGCACAAGATCTATACTCACCTAATTTAAAAAAAATCTAATCTCACACTTGAAGTGGTTAGTGAAGGAATAACTGTTCCTAGAAACTAATGCTTCATTTGCCAAAGACTTTAACAGAAACAATAATACCAAGTTCAAGTGGGCAGAGTTCTGTTTTTCTTGTATTTCAGTGATTTAATTGCCAGATGTCTCAAGCTCAAAACATGTGAATTGAAACTCAGAAATTGGGGCTGGTGCTGTGATGTAGCGGGTTAAGTCTCCACCTGCAGTGCCGGCATCCCATATGGGTGCTGGTTCAAGACCCGCTGCTCCACTTCCAATCCGGCTCTCTGCCAGGGCCTGGGAAAGCAGTAGAAAATGGCCCAAGTCCTTGGGCACCTGCATCCTAGTTGGAGACCCAGAAGAAGCTCCTGGCTTCTGGCTTTGGATCAACACAGCTCCGGCTGTTTTTGCCAATTGGAGATTGAAGCAGCAGACAGAAGACCTCTCTCTCTCTCTGTCTGTCTGTCTCTATATCTCTATCTCCGCCTCTCCATCTCTCTCTGTGTAACTCTGGCTTTCAAATAAATAAATCTTTTAAAAAAAATCTCAGAAATATTTAGCGTATGTTTCCATCTGGAAAGAAAACAGCAGGAATGGCATTCTTTTCCTGATGTTTAATATTTGTTTTGGGGACAGTCAACTGTAAAATTATAGATTAATTTGTATAACTTCTAATATTCTGTTTTTAGTAGGCAAGAAGAATGGAGAACTGCAAAAGGAGAAGAAGAAATAAAGACTTACAGATCAGAAGAGAAAAGAAAACACTTAACAGTTCCAAAAGAAAACAAAATACCCACTATTTCAAAGGTAAAGTTGATTACTTTGACATGTTTAATATTAGTGTAGTAAGCATAATGACCATTTTAGGCCCCTTATTGTAAGTAAATATGTTAATATTACAAGTAAGGTAATTAGTGCAATAAACTTATTGTAGCTAATTCTCAATTATGTATTTGGATTATCTGTTATTTACCATTTTAAACTATAGTTCTAAATTTCCTGCCTTCTAGCATACTTTTCTCCAAATGCCAATTCTTATATATTCATTAAATCTAATAAATTCCTACATATGCCCAAGAGTTCTTTTTAGTTCTGCATTGGTTTCCCATGTAAAACTTTTTTTTCTATTTTTTTTTTTTTTTGCATTTTTGTTATTCTGGATAATCAGCTAATGCTGCTATAAAAATGTTATTTTCTATTTCTGTATTTGTTTTATTCTATTTATTTCTCTATCATTTACCCCAAAAATACTTTAGAATCCAGTGGATTTCAATATATGGACTCCTCTGATAGTGAAGAATCTGATGTATCCATTCTTTTTTTTTTTTTTTTTGGAAACTACTCAGCTTGTGACAAAACCTATATGAAACTTGTTTTAGGTCCAAGTCATCATTTAAGCGATGATTTAAAAAAAGAAAAATTAACTGTTCTTCTGACCCAGTGCCTTAAATAGTTACTCTTTCTCATGTAAAAGCCTTGGTAGGTTGTCCAGGCCTGATGTGGTGCCCTCAGTGTCAAAGACAAGCTCTTTAATTTCTCTAATCCTGCTAGATTTGACTTCATGCCTGAAGATAAGAGTGTCCTCATTTAAGTTTGCAGGATTGGGGCAGGTGTTTTGGCTCAGTGAGTTAAGCTTTTGTTTGGGACCCTGGCATCCTATGTTTATTGGAGAGTCTAGTCTACTGTGCTTCTGTTACAGCTTCCTGCTAATGTGCCTGGAAAGGCCACAGAAGATTGCACAAGTCACTTGAGTCTTGCCCCCATGTTTTGAGGTCTAAATGGAGTTCCAGGCTCCTGCTTTCAGCCTGGCTTACCCCTGGCTATTGCAGATATTTGAGAAGTGAGCCAGCAGGTGGAAGATAAATGTCTCTGTCCACACCCCGGCCCACTCCCCCCCCGCCCCCGTCTCTCTGCCTTTCAAACAAATCTTTTTTTTAAAAAGGTGGTACAATGGAGGATAAGTCAAAAGAGGAAGGTGCAAAGGCCACATACTTTCTCCTTGGGAAGGTTACTTGATGTTACTCTCCAATGTGGTGCCAGATAATTCCACTGGCCAAAACTTAGGCATATTATAGTCCAATAAAGCAATTCTTTTGTGGAGGAGAGAACAGATGTTAGTTGATAACCAACTATTTTCTCCACTGCATTATTTATTAAGACATTAGGAATATTTATTTTCTCTCACATGGAATTTATTTTATAGAAGTGTCAGGTTGTAGATAATGCATTATAAAATGCTTAAATCACAGTTTTAATGATAGATTTGAGTAAATAGAAATATTTGTTAAATGAAGAAATACAATAAATGTTTCACAAGGAGTCAAAATTTGTGTAATTATAGTTGAACATCATTTCTTTTTATACCTTTCCATATTTTTCAAAATGTTTACAAAATTATGAAACTCTTCAATACTTCTTTTACTTTTAAATATTTGAAAAGCAGGGAGAGTGCCTGGTGCAATGACAGCAAGTACAGTTGCCACCTGCAGTGTCAGCATCCCATATGGGCACTAATTCGAGTCCTGGCTGCTCTACTTTTAATCCAACTTTCTGCTAATACAGCTGGGAAAGCAATGGAGGATGGCCCAAGTCTTTGGGCCTTGCACCCACGTGGGAGACCTGGAAGAAGCTTCAGGTTTACCCAGGTCCTGCCTTTGAGGCCATTTGGAGAGTAAACTAGCAAGCAGATGGAAGATCTCTCTCTCTCTCTCTCTCTCTCTCTCTCTCTGCCTCTGTAACTCTGCCTTTCAGATAAATAAATCTTAAAAATTATTTAAAAATAAAAAAGAAAGGCAAGGAAAGAGAGAGATGTTCTATCCTCTAGTTCACTCTACAACTGCCTTCAAAAACCAGGGCTAGACCAGAACAAAGCCAGGAGCCTGGAACTCAGTTGGTGTGTCTCATATGGGATATATAGACCCAAGTATTTCAACCATTACTTGTGTCCCGAAGCAGAGCCAGAAACCAGGCACTCTAATATGGCATGTAAGCATTTCAAGTGACATGTTAACCACTGTGCCAAACACCTGTCCAGTAGTTCTTTTAGAGAATATACATTTATGTGGAGTAAATCTTATGTCCTATTAAGTGAAAATTTCACTTTTTAGCATCAGTAATACAAGTTCAAAGTTATTTTCTGTTAACAATCTAAAGGCAGTATTCCTTTTTCTTTTTCTGTGCTGATAAAGCTGATGTCAGTCTCCCTGTTTCATTGAAGGCAATCTCTAGTGTTTTCTTCTTAGTGTTTTTATTTTTTATATTCTCAAGTTTGACTGTGATATGTCCAAATGGAGATTTTTCTTTCGTTTCTTTGAATGCTCTGAAAGCTGGTTTTATTTTGGTTTTAAGCTTTGAATACGTGTTAGCCTCTGTTTTATCTTTCAGATCACAAATACACATTTTAATTTATGTGATAAGCCTGCTGTCATTTTTTTCCTCCAAATTTAAGACTCCATGTCAGTGATTCTTAGTTTTTGAGATTGTGTAGTTTAATTTTCCAGGGGTAAATTCTTGTTGATTTTCTGTCAGTCGTCATGTTGAACTTTGTCAATTAGTGTGATTATTGGTATATTCTCATTTATTGCAGAAGACTTTTTTTCACATTTACCACCTCTAGCAGAAGAGAAAGTCACTTGGTGTCCTAGCCTCAAAGTGGCAGGATAGCTATGTGATGACCATTTTGGTTTCCAGTTTATCTTAGCCTCAATCAGCAAGTGAATTTCAACATAGCATAATAAGCCTGTGATTTAATTTAATGTAATATGGAAATTGAGTTGGTACATAATTATTCCATTTAAGTGATTATATAAATACATATAAGTTTTTTATGACTAAAAAATTAACTTTCAAATTAAAAAGCCCACTCTTTAAGTATCCTATTAATAATTTACTTTTTTCCCAGAATCATGCTCATGAACATTTCTTAGATCTTGGAGAATCCAAAAAACAACAGACTAATCAACACAATTACCGTACAAGATCTGCCCTGGAAGAAACTCCTAGACCCTCAGAAGAGGTTGAAAATGGCACTAGTTCTTCAGATGTAAGATTTCACCATTGTAATAAATATCTATTTTCATTTTTACTTATTTTTAATGACTATGATACAGATAAACATACATTTTAAGTCTTAAAGTTTACTGTTAGCTTCTTAGACCTACTTCCAGGCAAGGCACACACATTCTTAATCTCAAGTCCATAAGACAAATACATGTGAACTTTTCTCATCTTATATGTACGGATTCTGAGGTTTAAAATTGTTTATTTAGATTACGTATTTACCTGTTAAAATGGTAGAGCAGGGATTAAATGGAGCTTCCTTTTACTTTAAATCCAAGTTCTTTAAAAGGTACCGTGATGCTTTAGTAAGCATCTAAATGTAATTTTTCAATACCCCTTACACAAAATTATTTCCATACATATTGTCCTTATTAAATTATACATTTTTTCATCAAAGGCAATAAATTTGTTATCACAAACCAATCTTATCTGGCATTTATGACCATATCCTTTCCTGTCTCCTACCTTCATCATCTCTTCTTTCCCTTCCCCACAGTCAGTCATAGATTCGGTTATCCTTGATGACTGCCACAGACTTGTTGTAGTTTGCAGCGTTACACATATATGAAAATACTGTAAATGTATTCTCTCTGGACAAAGCAGTATTCCGAAATTCTAGCCATAATTTAAAAGTTACACTTCAATAATGACAAGTCCTAATAAAGCTAAGTCAAAATGGTGTATTCATTCTGGCGAAAAAGACAAAATTTACTTATTACATAAAACACATTACAATTTGTGGACATACAAAGCAAAATATGACCATACTTCAGAAAGTACATGGAAAATGTAATTAAAAGGTTAATTTTGGTGCCAAAAAATCTTGACACTAATGTGTAATTTCTTCATAATACATATTTTCCATGAAATTGTTTGAAGACTCCTATACATGGATTTCAAAACTTTTTGCACCGGAATAAATTTAACTTTTAATTCCATTATTCCATGCATTTTTTGAAGAACCTTTGTATATGTAGTCTTTTTATTTGTCCTCTGAGAGGAGTTAAATAAATTTCTAGAGGAGTATATTGAGAACAGAATAACTTGGCACAACTTACTCATTAATGGAAAGAATCTTGGTGTTTTTTGTTCAGATACTTTATACTTCATTGTTTTGTATTTAAAATATAGAAGTAAGCCTGTTTCTTTTCTCAGCATTTAAGGAAATAACATGAAATGTGAGAAAAATTCTATCACTTGTTTATATCTTGGTTACATTGAGCAGAAATTAAATTTGCTAGTTGAAGTACCTAATGGATTTTGATCTTTTCATAATTCTTTGGAATTGTCATATAATTCAGTCTTCATGAAGACATCAGGATGAAAAATCTTTTTCCCAGAATATATAATTTTTATTAAAATGGTAAAGGAATACATTCCATTGACCTCTTGGAAAATGTTTTGAATGTGTCCAACAAGTAATAACTCTATCATTTTTGCAGAAATTTCTGGAAACTTTAGGCTGAAATGATGTACATTCTAATTAAGCCTTATTTTTATTAGTTGTATTACCTTGGGCAAATTTTTTTTAACTTTCTTAAGCCTTTGTTTCTTTTATTTAAGTAACTTATTATCTCCAACAGAGCTTTGGTGAGACCAAATGCTTACACAAAGTTCTTAAAATACTTTCTAACATAAAAGCTTATTAAGTAACAGATTATTGTTAATTGGAGCAAAAAGTTTACTTGAGCAAGAAAGAAGTGTTAAGATTTTGTGACTCAGAACTCCCAACTTTTATGAAAAAAATGCCTTTATAAATATTATCCTATACTGACTCAAGAATATTAATGAAGAGTGTCTGGGTATTATTTAATCCTCTACTATTTAGATAAACTAAGGCCAGAGGTAGAATATCATTTTCCATGTGTAAAACTATTTAAATAGTAGTAATAGTAAGTAGAACATAAATATGCTTCTCAAAGCAACTACAGAAAAAAAGTTTGATTTTTAAAAAAAGATCTAGGAAAGGGCAGGCATTTGGCACAGCAGTTAAGACACAGCTTGCCACATTTGGGTCCCATATCAGTGTGCCTGGTTCAAGTTCCATTTCTGCCTTCAATCCAATTTCCTGTTAATGCATACCCCAGGAATCAGCAGGTGATGGCTCGAGTATTCTCAAGATTCTAGGTTTCTGCCAACCCATTTGGGAGTTCCAGATTCCTGCCTTTGACCTGGCCCAGCTCCAGCTATTGTAGACTTCTGGGGAGTGAACCAGAAGATGGGAGATCTCTGTCTTTGTCTCTTTGCCTTTCAAGTAAATGAAAAATAAATTTAAAAAAATTTTAAGACCTAAGAAGTAAAAATTATTTTTTATATAAACTATGGAATTGATTTTCAATCTAGAAGATACACATTATGAGGCTTTAAAATTGTTAATCTGAGAAATTATTCTGAATCTATTATCAATAAGCATGCCTTTTTATAGTCTCACTTTTTGTATAAATACAAAAGCTGTGTTTTATAACTAAGTAAGGTTTTAATTTAAATATCTATTACTGGTATTAGTCATTGATATTTTCTATAACCATAGAATGTTTTCTAAAATTATGTGTTAAAATGTGTATGCAATTTTTCTTAGGAAGGTGAAGTAGTTGCTGTCAGTGGTGGAACATCAGAAGAAGAAGAGAGAGCGTGGCACAGTGATGGCAGTTCTAGGTAAGTGAATGAATTTTTATTTCTCCAAATGTTACAAAAATTTTTAGAAAGCTGAAGATTCCGTTTTTAACCAGCAACATATTTCAAAGTCTTATTGGGTTTAAAGTTAATTTTTCAGAGATTGCTTAAGTTGTACAAAATTTAGATTTTCTTCCTGACATTTTTTATATATAAGAAATTTTTTTGGTAATTGCTATCAGATCTGAAAAATGCTTTATCTTGTTACTTGGGATTCTGTTTCTCAGTGCTGTTATTATAATACTGAATCACAGACTGGTTTCATGATTAACTTGGAGAAATATTTAAGCATGAAATTATGAAAAGTAATTAGCTGTTGTAGAATTAACTACCTTACATAAATTATTTGTACAATACTAGTAATATTGTCTTCTAGCAAAATGAAAGATAAACACTTAACAGTGCAAGTATGGATTATTTCAGTTCCTTATAAGGTGATCCACATTGCTGTAAGGCTGATTTTTTTATTTCTTTAAGAATTATTTATTTATTTGAAAAGCATATTTATTTATTTGAAAAGCCTACTTTCCCAGGCCATTGCAGAAAGCTGGATGGGAAGTGGAGTAGCCACGACTTGAATTGGCACCCATATGGTGATGCCAGCACTGCAGGCAGCAGCTTTACCCGCTAAGCCCCAGCACCAGACCCTGTGCTTATTGTTTCTAAGACACCTGAACATTTTCTGGAAGGTGTCAAAGAAACATGAGGATTATTTTGAGTTCTCTCAGCCTATGTGAGTTTCCATACTTAATTTATCACTTGAAGTCTGTCAAAAAGATGTAATTGGCTTTTACTGGAATTATTTCAGAAGTTAATTTTCTTACCGGGCTAATAGCAAGGTCTCTGACTGCAGTTGACTGTGTCTTTGGATCGTTTGATGTGAATTTTGACTCATTTTTAAAAATTGTCCCTTTTAATTCCATACTCCTATGGTCATCCTTACAACACTGTTTACTAATCCCAAGCTCTTTTTCCTTTATGTTAACTGAGCCCCTATGGCTTATTTTGTGGATCAAAATTCTTACAAATATTAAATTTTAGCACTGCTAGTTAAAACAATCATTTTTAATTTTGTTATGAAATCACACTAGAAACATTATAATTATTTGATTCTTGGCATTTGATTATTCTTGGAGATTTTAGGTAAATACCTTTCGAAGATTTGAAGAAGGGTAGTATGGTGGTATTAAACTCACATGCACAAAACTGTCTTCACCATGTTATCAGCAATATTTTTAGATCTGTGAGGACATAAAACTCTAAAACTAGTCACACCGTTGCTTCTAACAGTATAACTTGGGTTCCTTTAAGGCATTTATTTATAAAACTACAAAATAAGTAATTAAATATTCTCATCTACTAAAATAAAAATAATAGATAGTATAGTTGTGTTTTTTTTTGTCATAACATCAGCTTAGTAAAATGTATGTCTGAAAATACACTGGAAAGAAGTGGCAAATATGATTGGTTAAATACTAAGGCTTGTATTTTTCTGAGGCATGTGGTGCTTGAAACCATATGATTCACACCTAAGATATAATTTTATGTAAATAAAGTTTATTTTCTTTACATGTTAAATAAAGTTTGTAAGCTCAGCCTTTCCACTGAGTACTAAGTATACCTTGCTAACATGAGAGCACCACTTCTGTGCTTTAGGAGCTATCCATGTTAAGAACTCCCAGCACCCCCTTCTAAAAAGGAAAGCTCCTGTCTCCTCCTCAGTGTTGACATCTGTTAGGCTTATCAGGGCTGTTTTTCTACTGGTTCAAGAATTGAGGAAGGTAACAGTCTGCCACCAGTCCCTCTTCTTTTTGTATGCTACACAGTCTTTTTTTTTTTTTTTTAAACTTTTTTTCTATTTATTTGATAGAGTTATAGACAGTGAGAGAGACAGAGAGAAAGGTCTTCCTTCCATTGGCTCACCCCCCAAGTGGCCACTATGGCCGGCACTGTGTTGATCCTGAGCCAGGAGCCAGGTGCTTCTTCCTGGTCTCCCATGCGGGTACAGGGGCCCAAGTACCCTGGCCATCCTCCACTGCCTTCCCGGGCCACAGCAGAAAGCTGGACTGGAAAAAGAGCAACTGGGACTAGAACCCGGCACCCACATGGGATGCCAGCGCCACAGGTGGAGAATTAACCAAGTGAGCCTCGGTGCTGACCCCAAGATTTATTTATTTATCTAAGAGGGAGAGGCCGGGGGGGGGGGCGGTGTCTTTCCATCTGCTGATTGACTCCCCAGATGAGCACAGTGGCCGGAGCTGTGCCGATCCAAAGCCAGAGGCCTGGAGCATCTTTTGGGTCTCCCGTGTGGATTCAGGGGCCCAAGGAGTTGGGCTCACTTCCACTGCTTTCCCAGGACATAGCAGAGAGCTGGATCTGAAGTGGAGCAGCCAGCACTCGACCTAGCGCCCATGTGGGATACTGGCACTGCAGGCAGCAGTCTTACTTGCTAAGCCACAGTGCTGTCCCTGCCACACAGTATTTTTAACAAGTGTGTCACTTGGGTATCATTTTTCTTAAAATCATAAAAAGTACATAAGTTTGTTTTTTCACTTAAACCTGTGGCCCTATTTTTCTTCATTTTACTTTTGAGATGTTAAATAAAGCCTACACAAGTTTAAGAAATTTTTGAACATTAGTTAAAAGGGAAATATTTTTTAATTCATTACTATTCTGTAATCCCTTATTATCTTTATTTTCCTTTATACAAAACAAAATCTTGACAATTTTAAAATCTCTTCTCTCCTTCTAGTGACTACTCTAGTGATTACTCTGACTGGACAGCAGATGCAGGAATAAATCTGCAACCACCAAAGAAAGTTCCTAAGCATAAAACCAAGAAAGCAGAAACCAGTTCAGATGAAGAAGAAGAATCTGAAAAACAGAAGCAAAAACAGATTAAAAAAGAAAGAAAAAAAGGAAATGAAGAAAAAGATGGACCAGTATCACCAAAGAAAAAGAAGCCCAAAGAAAGAAAACAAAAGGTTGATTTTTTAAAATTATAAATTTAGTATTTTCTATGAAAATTGCTTTAAAGCACACTTAAATAAAGTGTGATTTTTTTTTTTTTATTTACTTGAAAGAGTTATGGAAGAGGGTGGGGAGAGACAGAGAGATCATCTATCCATTGGTGCTGTCTGTAAATGACTGCAATGGCTGGGGCCGGGCCAGGCCAGTACTCTGTTATGGAATGCCAGCTCCAGAAGTGGCAGCAGCTTAATCTGCTGAGTGACATTGCAGACTCCAAAGCATGCACTTATAAGTGCATTTAATAATATTCAAGTAGTAATAGGAAAAACTCAGATGTATACAATAGTAAAATAAAGTACATTGAAATATATTTAGTTTACTTAAGTTTTCAAATGTTTAGCTTATAAAATAATTTACTTACATACCATATTCTAAATATTGAGCATTTACTCTTAAAGCATGATCACATTTTTCTTGACAGGTCAGTGAAATTACTCATTTTTTGATGTAAAACACATAATGGTAAAAACACAGATTTTGTTAGTCTATTAATTGTCTTCTTGTTTAGCCATCCTTATTAATTGACATTGCTGAAAATAAAAGTTTAGAGAGAACATTACATGCAGTAAAATTGACATAACTTTTTGTAGTTGATCACAAAACAAATACAAATCCAAAATGAGATAAAATAGGCTTATTCTAACAGGGCTTCATTAATTTACATTGCCTTGAAGCCATAATTTTTCAGTCCTTAAGTCAGTAAAGTATTGATTACTTCATGTTAAATCTGTGGATAATTAGCAGAGAAAATAAGAAATGAATATCAGTAAAAGTAAGAAAATCTATCAGATCCAGTGGAGTTAAAATTCTTTAACCTGGGAATGAAAATACTGTTTAACTTTTGCTTTGATGTAGAGGCAAAAATGTGAGCCGTGTTTTCTACTACCCAGAAGACTATAAATGGGAAGCATATTTGGGTAAACAAAGGGAAAAAAATCTCTGCTATTTTAGGAATTAATAAATTGTGATTTGTAGAATTACTTAATAAAAGACTCAATTGTCTTTATCCCCACCAAGCTTTGAAAAAGTATAAGAATACACCTGTCTTGTTTTTAAGTGTTTATTTTTTCTGAATTGGTTGAATTCTTGTTCTTTTCAACTTCTTGCTTCCTTTACTTAGCTCTGGGGGAAGCTTTACCAAAGAGCATGTTATACATTTGCCTGCAGTTTTCTGCCTTTTCAGTGATGATACATTATTTTATGTGATAGAAAGATTGGTTAAATAAAACTGATTTAGCCATGTATTTGGATAATAAAGTAAATATTCTTTTCCATCTCAAGACTTTTACTTTGAGAAACCAAAAGAGACAGTGAATGAGCTCTTCTTTCACCTGTTTACTCCCCAAATGCCTGCCACAGCCAGGGGTGAGAAACCAGTAACTTAATTCGGGAACCCAGTGCCTTGAGCTGTCACCACTACCTGGCAGGGTCTGCATTAGTAGGAAATTTGAGTCAGAAGCTGGAGCCAGGATTCAAATCTAGGCCACACAGTGTGGGACAGCGTCATCTTAACCACTAGGCTAAATATTTGCTCTTTAAGGTTGTTTTAATGAACTTTTGAGGTTTACCAGTGAAAAGTCACTGTGATAACATAATTCTTTTGTCCCAAAAATACAATTCACTTCACCCTGCCTCCTTTGATTTGATAGTTGTCTACGGACTAACACCATGGGCTTCCTCATGCTAGTGCCATATTTGGATTCACTATAACTGTTTAGTATATTTTAATTTAATTGTTCTGTGAAAAGATGTTACAACAGGATCTACCTGCCTTTAAATATCATAAGATTTGATTTATACAGTATTTTCTTTAGTTACAATTTTTTTCAAAGGCCTATCAGTGGATCTAACAATAAGTAGAGTTGTTCTTACAACTTTGTCCTCCAGTTATATCAAATAAAAACTAACAATTTCCATGTTATGCATAAAATAGATGGAAAACAATGGAAATTTCATTAAATCATTGGTATACATTAATTGTATGTGTGAAAATAATAGAAACATTTTCCATGACTAAATTTTTTTAATTAATTAAGCAAACAGGCTATTATAGAAAATGCTAATTAAAAATAGAATTCTTGGAAGTTGATTTTTAGCCTAGCAGTTAAGGTGTCCATGTCCCATATCAGAGCCCTTGGATTAGATTCCCACCTTGAGCTCCTAATTGCAGCATCCTGCCAGTGCAGCCCTGTGGAGTCAGTAGTGATGGCTCAATTAATTGGATTCCTGCTACTCAGAAGAGAGACATGGGTTGTGTTCTCTGCTTCTGGCTACAGCTCTGGTTTTTGGGACATTTGGGAAATGAGCCAGTGGTTGGGAGTTCTCTTTGTCTCTCTTGAGCCCTCAAATAAATAAAAACTAAAACAACAAAATAGACTTCTCTAAAGATACAGGAAGTCATCTCAGATGACACATTATATGTATCTCTTAGGTCATTAGGAACTCTGAAAGAAGCCAATATGTATCGCACACTTACAAAATATTATGGTAGACAAAAACTTAAATACCCCAAAATAAAAATAGAGAAAAGATGATTGCTATCTCATCTATTAATATGTTTATAATAATGTATTCAGTTGCTAGACTTTTAAGATGGATAATAACACAAAAGGGGAGATGGCAGCCATTTGCCCTAGCAGTTAAGACATTGGTTAAGGCTGGCGCCGTGGCTCACTAGGCTAATCCTCCGCCTGTGGTGCCAGCATACCGTGTTCTAGTCCCGGTTGGGGCTCTGGATTCTGTCCTGGTTGCTCCTCTTCCAGTCCAGGTCTCTGCTGTGGCCGGCAAGGCAGTGGAGGATGGCCCAGGTCCTTGGGCCCTGCACCAGCATGGGAGACCAGGAGGAAGCACCTGGCTCCTGGCTTGGGATCAGCGCAGCGCGCCAGCCATGGTGCCCATTTTGGGGGGTGAGCCACTGGAAGGAAGACTTTTCTCTCTGTCTCTCTCTCTCTCACTGTCTAACTCTGCCTGTCAAAAAAAAAAAAAAAAAAAAAAAAGACATTGGTTAAGATGCTTGTGTCTCCATATTGGAGTATCTGAGTTCCATTATCCTGTTAATGTGCACCTTGGGAAGTAGTAGTTATGGGTCAAGCTTATATATTAGAGACTTGGATTGAATTCCTAGCTCCTGACTTCGTCCTGGCTCAACCCAGGCCATTACAGATAGTTGTGGAGTGAACCACCAGATGGGTGTGGTGGTGGAATCTTATGTTAGGATTTCAGGTAAGGTTTCCTAGAAGAAGTAATATATGGGCCTGGAAGCATTTCCCATGGATGTCAAATCAATTACCTGTACATTTATAATTTTTTAAAGATCTAAAATGTTGAAATTGAAAGTTGGATATTCAGTGCATTTTACCCCTTAATGGGTTATCCAAGAATTATTGGATAATAAGATTTGTCATTGTAGTGATTTCTTTAGTGACACCAAAGTCTTAAATTTCTAGTCGTTATTCCTATTTAATATGCAGCCTACCTGTCTTCATTGAAGAATTATTAGTTACCATAGTCAATTTCAGTACCCTCCTTAGGAGAAGTACATGGTGCATTTAATGGTGTATAATATTATGATTTTCAAACTTTTCTTTCCTTTTTCTTTTTATCCAGATATTTTTCAAACAAACTCATGCTCAGAACCTGAGTATATAAAACTAATAAAATAAAAGCTACTCTGAATAAATCACTATGGAAATTCCAGGGTTGTGGGAACTAACTCTGTAATACACATAGTACATAACACAATGATTATGTAATAACTGTTTATGAATAAGTTTTAACTATTTAGATATTATTTGATTTAATATTGTATCTCAATTCTAACGCATATAAAACTTACTTCCTAAGCTTGCTTCTCAAGCCTTCCATGCTTTCTCTTCCATGCCTTCCTCATTTGGTGATGGCAACTTCATCTTTTGTTTATACCTAAACTCCTGAAGTTAACCTTACTTGCGTTTTTTGTCTCATATTTGACATTTAATCTACTGGGGAGATGTCATGGCTCTGTCTTCTAAATGTGTTTAACACTTGAATGTTTTTTTACCACTTTGTTGTTATCAAGGTAATAGGAGCTTTCATTTGTATTATTATGTAACCTCCTCTCTGTCTTGCTGCTTCTGTCCATTTCTCACTGGGGTCTGTTTTTAAAGCAGGGGTTGATAAACTTTTCCTGTACAAGGACAGCTAGCTACTCTAACGTGATAGCCTGAAAACAGCCATAGATAATACATAAACAGATGGGTATGGTTGTTTCCATAAAATTTAGTTTATTAAACGATTTATAAAAAGATTTATTAAAAGAGTTGGTAGCCTGGACTCAGGTTATGGACCATGATTTTCTGATTTCTATTCTGATGCATCCAGAATGATTCTTTTAACATCAAAGTTGGATCATATCACTCTAGGATTCCTCTCACATACACTAAATACCAAAGGCCTTTACCCATCTCCTGTAATGCTCCAAGGTGAGAATGTTCAATGGTATGTTTGAGAAAAAGCACAATTTGGTTAATAAGAAGAAGCAAAAAGTGAATGTTACGAAGCAGCTATATATGGTAGTATCTACTTCAAGTAATGTGCTTTGATACCACATTACTTCTTATAGTGAACTTTCATAGTGAAATATTTTTTGAAAAACAATAAAATTTAGAAGTCTTACTGTACTGAACCAGAACAATTTTAATTAATTGCATAAAATTTCTCCAGCTATAAATAATAGATCTCAAACCCATTTTCCCTAAGTCTAAACCCACTTATATGTGACATAAAGTTAAACACAAAGTTAAACACGTCTTTCTCAGAGGCATGCTTTTTTTTTTTTTTTAAAAAAAGATTTTTATTTATTTAAAAGAGTTAGAGAGTTGCAGACACAGAGAAAGAGAGGGGTCTTCCATCCACTAGTTCATTCCCCAAATGCCCAAAAGCTGTCAGAGCTGGGTTGATCCAAAGCCAGGAGCCAGGAGCTTCTTCCAGGTTTCCTACTGCTTTCCTAGGTGCATTAGCAGGTATCTGGATGGGAAGTGGAGCAGCTGGGAATGGAACTGGGAGGCATGGGTTTTTTAATCTATGAGAACTACAAAGTAACCTGGCTTGGTAACATTTGTTTGGGAAAACCTGCCTTTTGTATTTGTTTTAAAAGCTTAAGTTGAACCAAGAGTGTGAAATAACTACTTTCAAAAGAGGAGAGGACTTTCTCTGGTTACGTAGAAGTGTAATGCCCAGCATGTGGAAAAAATTAGTTTTCTGTATCTTGTGTTACTCAAATGCTATGAGAATATTTTGTTTAGTTGTTACTGCATAGTAGTAAGACTAGTAGGATTTTTTGTTTTTAAAAAACTGAAGCATGTGTTGGTTTGTTATGTGGAATATTTCTAAAACTGATAGTTATTTTTAATAGAGAAGACTATACAGACTTGTACTTCAAAGTTTGTGTAGATATCTTTGTTATCTAGTTTTGTCAAAGTTGCAAGTTTTGATTTTACTTCCTGGTTCTCTTTTTATGCATTGATTTGGAGAGATTGAAAAATTCTGTTGCCAGTTTTTTCCAAATTGTTTTATAATGTTTAAAGAAAATATATAAATGTCCCCTATCTTTTGTTTAACCACCTCTAGTTTGTAGTTATGATATTACTTCACAATGTTCTAAACTTTCTTAGAGATTGGCTGTGGGAGAATTAACTGAAAATGGTTTGACATTGGAAGAATGGTTACCTTCAACATGGATTACAGATACTATTCCCCGAAGATGTCCATTTGTGCCACAGATGGGTGATGAGGTACTTTTAAACTTTCAAATTATTTGTTTTTTTTTTTTTTTTTTTTTCCAAGTAGCAGCTTTACACATTTTTTAATCTCTCTTGAAACAGAACTCCAGAAAATTTTAACAGTTTTATACTAGTAGCTCATTCTAGATGTAGCTCTGGAGAAAGTACAATTAGGAGGAAAGATCTAATGATAATCTTTTTAGAGAATATTTTGAATATTTCTGTAGTAAATCTGTATATTATGTAAGAGAAAAGAAGTTTTGTTAGGATATTAAAAACTGGTATGTATTTTTAGTAGAGTTTTATTGCTTTTTTCCTTAAATTAAAATACATTCATTTTTCTTAGTTTAGGGGTTAAATGTATAGCATGTTAAAAAATAAGATTTAGAACTTTATTTTCATTGAATTTAATTTCAAAAATTTCAATTTACCAAAAATCTATACTATTAGGATGTAATATTTTATCTCAACTTTAAGAAAATTTGATTGGTACCATTCAGTTTCAACTATGTACTTCTTTATTTAGAATGGAAATATAAGGACTTAGATTAAGATTTTTTACTCACATTTCGTGCCTTATACACAGTTGAATAGGCAGTGTTATTTGGTGTCTCAACAAAATGGTAGTGGTAAATTAGGCAGTGAAACAAAGGCTCTTTTAGCCGAGCATGCTAATTAGCAGTATAAAGTGATAATTGACATTAAAAAAAGAGAAACAGAAACTTCTTAATGCAAGAGTAACTGTAGAGAACAGTCTGAAATAATTTATTTAGAGACCTTACTTGCCTCAAAGTGCAGTATTACAGTATAGTATAATGATAGATCTTACAGACCTGCATTAAGAGACTAAATTATATTTAATGTATTTTCAAGATGACCAGAAACTTTGTAATACCATATTGAATGATATCCTTTCTAAATATTTTAATTTATCTTTTTATTTGCTGAGGGTTGAACAGCTAAGTCCTCATTTATGATTTCCTTATTTGAAGTTCCAAACAACTCAAGCAATGATTAATAGAATAAAAATGTGTGATAGTGACTGTTTCAAAATGTTACTTAGATCTTAATAACACTTTTTAAAGATGATTGCTACTTTTTTAATTAAAGATTTTTATTTATTTATTTATTTGAAAGTCAGTTACACAGAGAAAGAATGAGAGGCAGAAAGAGAGAGAGGTCATCCTCCATTTGCTGGTTCGTTCCCCAGTTGGCCGCAATGGCTGGAGCTGTGTTGATCCAAAGCCAAAGCCTCTTCCTGGTCTCCCATGCAGGTGCAAAGGCCCAAGCACTTGGGCCATTTTCTACTGCTTTCACAGGCCATAGCAGAGAGCTGGATTGGAAGAGGAGAACAGAATTCAATGAGTGATAAACTTATGACCTCTTGTTGTAATTTTAAATTTATTATGCAAAGTAGGCTTACTTGGAATCCAAGAAAAAAAATACTAAATCTAAAAAAAATCTCAACTTCTAAGTGTATAACCAAGGTGATGTTGTAACAGAATACTTCAGAAAACATTTGAATAGCTTGAAGAATGGAATTGGAAAAAAAATCAATATTTGAATTTCTGTAGCTCAAAGGACCTTGTATTTCTCTGCATTTTAGCTGATACTTTGCATTTTGGGTTATAATAGAAACATATATTGTCGCTCCCCGTCTTCGTGGAGGAACAACACAGGACCCTGCGCTGTTCTTTCGTCTGCTCGGCCCTTCCCGGGTTTGCTCCTGGTTCTTCCCGGGTTGGCTACCGACCCTTCCACCTCCGTGGAAGGGCGGTTCCCCCTGCCACTTTCCCCACTTCCTCGGGGGAGCGACACACCGCCGGCCGGCTCTCTCGGGGGCTGCACAGGTGTTCCTTCAGATGTTCCCCTTAGATGTTCCTGGTGCATGTTGTCTCTCTCCTCTATAGTCCTTTTCCACCAATCCCAACTCGGCTGCCCACACGCCGAGTACGCTGCTCTCCTCCAGTCAGGAGCAGGATCAGCTCCTGGAGGTCATCACTCAAGTTGGCAAGAGGCAGCTGCGTAGAAGCTGTTTCCTCCTCTCCCAGCGCCATATTGTGGGAGAGCAGATGCATAGAATAAGTCTTAATTCCAGTAACTTAGTGTAGTCCGAGTTGCTCCCCACAATATATCTATTTTTAAATTATCACTTTATTTACTTTTTAGGTTTATTATTTCCGGCAAGGACATGAAGCATATGTTGAAATGGCCCGGAAAAATAAAATTTATAGTATTAATCCCAAAAAACAGCCATGGCATAAAATGGAACTACGGGTATGGTATTGATTTTCTTTGGCTATTGGCCCAACAAGTGCAATTATGACAATATGTATTACGTGCTACTAATTTCACTATAAGAAACATATCATGAAGATACTTTGCTTAATTGAAACAGTCATAAAGAGTAGAGTTTATTTTCTAAAGACACACAGGATTGGGTTTATATTCTATAGTGTATAAATAGGCTACAAAATTTTGTTACAGTGAAATTTAGACAATACTGATTTTTCAAGTAAATTTGAATTTATAAATTTGATGAATATTTCTAGAATTGTTAACATTAATTCAAAGTTATCTAGCAGTCTTTAGAACTATACATAAAAACTCATTTCAGTAATGTTTACTTATTTTTTTACATATCTCAATGATTTTTAAAGAAAATTTATTTATTTATTTGCAAGTCAGAGTTATACAGAGAGAGGAGAGGTAGAGATGCAGAGAAGAGAGAGAGATGTCTTCCATCCAATGGTGCATTCCCCAATTGACCGCAACTGCTGGAGCTGTGCCAATTTGAAGCCAGGAACCAGGAGCTTCTTCTGGGTCTCCCACATGGGTGCAGGGGCCCAAGGACTTGGGTCATCTTCTACTGCTTTCCTAGGCCACAGCAGAGAGCTGGATTGGAAGTGGAGCAGCCGGGTCTCCAACCGGGGATGCCGGCACTTCAGGCCGGGGCGTTAACCCTCTGCGCCACAGCATTGGCTCCAGCTCAATGATTTTTTTAAATACATACAGAATAGTCACCAGATTAAGATTAAAGCAATTCTGAATTGTTTTCTTGTCTGTGTGGTTTATTTTGTAAATATGGTTTCCTGTTTTTTGTATCTTTCTTAGGAACAAGAACTGATGAAAATAGTCGGCATAAAGTATGAAGTGGGATTACCTACCCTCTGCTGCCTTAAACTTGCTTTTCTTGATCCTGATACTGGTAAACTGACCGGTGGATCATTTACCATGAAGTAAGAACTGTTGAAAGAGGCAATTATTTCTTAGTATTGTAGATCATTTTCAAGATTCAGATAAGTCTGAATATCTTTTAGATATTTTTAAGTGTGTGTCCTAATGAATTTTTTCTCTCTATAATTAGATACCACGATATGCCTGATGTTATAGATTTTCTAGTCTTAAGACAACAATTTGACGATGCAAAATATAGACGGTGGAATATAGGTGAGTAATGTATTTAAAACCTCTAAGTGTTTGCTATGTCTTTTTCCTAATAAATGATCATAATTTAGAACAAGCTAATCAGATAAATCTTACCATTTATAGGAATGATAACAAGAAGGTAAGATATGTTTAAGATATTTTTAAATTTTGCTTAGGGATGAAATATGAGTTGTTGAGAATTAAAGACTTTTCTCTCATATTTGGTGACTATAAATTATTATTATTACTCTTCCTTTTAGCTGTTTTACATGTTGAATTAATTTTTTTTTGAGATGTATTTATTTATTTGAAAGTCAGAGTTAGATAGAGAAGGAGGGGCAGAAAGACAGAGAGAGATCTTCTATCCACTGGTTTATTCCTCTGATGGCTGCAATGGCCAGAGCTGGGCCAATCTGAAGCAGGAGCCAGGAGCTTCTTCCCATTCTTCCACATGGGTGTAGAAGCCCAAGGACTTGGACCATCTTCTACTGCTTTGCCAGGCCACAGTAGAGAGCTGGATCAGAAGTGGAGCATCGTGGATTAGAACTGACACCCGTATGGGATGCCAGCACTGCAGGCGGCAACTTTACCCACTACGCCATAGCACCAGTCCCTGAATTCTGTTTTTATCCAAAAAAATTAATACCAAAATTCAAATTTGAAGCCAAAGGAAGCCTTAACACAATGTACAACAATTTGGACTAGAAATAAAGCTAAACTGAATTTTTAGGGTTTGATTAACCGTATTTTCATTTTTAATTTATAATTAAGTCTCAAACTTTAAAATCTAAATATTTTCAGGTACTTCAGGTACATTAATTTGTGTACAAACATGTATTATTTATTGTAGTTCTCTTAAAAATTTCAAAGAGAGACATTGTCTTTTTGAAATGTAGTATCGATGTACTTGTTTTATATGGTTTGGAAAAGCGTATGAATTGATGTACCAGTCCATCTCTCCTCTCATGCCATTGAAAACCATTGGTATGGTGACTTGCCTTTTCTTCATTGAAGATGGTTAAAAAGGAGAGAAAAATACACAGAATTCCCTCAAAGACCAGAATAGGAAACAACAAATGGAATTCCCAGGTAGCAGTCAATAGAAGTCTCTCAGTAAAGCAGCTACTTTATCAAGTCTTAAAAATAAGTTTTCCAGAGAATGTTATCCTCCAGTGTCTTTAGTGAAAACAAAAAATGAAACTCATAAATTAACAAGTTGACTTTGTAAGAAATAAAATTGAACAGTGCTTTTTATAACTTGAGTTTGTACAGAATGTGAGATGATTTAATTAGAAGTTCATAGGTTATCGTGCATAATAAAGAAAATTACGCAAGAAGTGAATTGTATGTTCTTTCATTTAGTAACATGATATTTACATTGTCATAATAAAAACTGAATATGGATTAAAGATGATACATATACCTTTTATATTCAATTATGTTGAAAGGCCAATGCCTGATGTCCAAAATTGATGAGATAAGAAACAGCTGTATACTTATTATTTAGAAATCTGTTAAGTTAATTCAAGGAGAAACAGTTAAAATAGATGAAAGTGTTTTTCTTGGCTTTGGTCATAAGCATTTGGTATATTTGATTTTTTAAAAAACAATTCACATAGATTAATGACGTGCATCTGCCAATAAATTGCAGAAGAACTACTAGAAAGCAGAATCCAAGAATATTCCTAAAGTGAGCTGAGAACCTAGGCATAGAAATATGGCAGGTATTGGACAAATTAAAGAGATTTCAAATGAATGAATGAAAGAATTTTCTCACTTGAATCTTGTAAGTTTTTTCCTATATTTATAAATTAGTATTTTCTATAAATATAGTATCTGATTGGTCTTTTACATCTGAAGATATGTATATCTACATACAAACTGCCATTTAAAATTAAGCTAGTAATAATTTTTACTTTAGCCTATCCTTTGAAGTGTTTTCAACCTATTCTGAATGGTGGCCCCTAGTCTTTGCTTCTTCATTACTATTTATTCTACACATATTGTTGATTACCAGTAGGCACACATGACACAGTTCTTCTTAACATAATATCATCAATCTCTATAGGGTCATAAGAAATAGGTCTCTGATACTGTTCTTTATGTTTACTGTAAAGTTAAGGTGATATCAAGAATGCTGTTTCTTAAATTATATAGTAGCTTCTCCCTAAGCGCAGTGTTGCCAGTTTGCATCAGAGGAGCAATTAAAGACTCCTAATCTAGTAATAGTTCATAAATTATTATTTTGAAAGATTCATTTATTTATTTCAAGGGCTAAGTGACAGGGAAAGACACAGAGAGGTATCTTCTTGTCCACTGGTTCACTTCAGAGATGCTCAAGCCAGGAACATGCAACTCCATCCAAGTCTCCTGTGTGGTAGCAGGAGGCCAGGTAGTTGGCTGTCTTCCTCTGCTTTCCCAGGAGGAACATTAGAAGTGAGTTGCATCAGAATCAAAGTAGCTGGGCCTTGAATCAGGACTATATAATTCAGGATGCTGGCATCACATGTGGTGGCCTACCAGATCCCTCATGTGTCCTTCGTAACACTTGGATACAAACATATATATCCACTGAAAATGTTTTAATTTCTCTCTAAATTTAAACAATGTGCAGTTGTATTCTGTTTACATACTCCAATCACTAATTTTCTTTTTTACCATCTTTAATTTTTAAAATTTTTAGTCATTTTATGCAATATGTCTTTATAAATTTTAAATTCTTTTTGGTTAAAAAAGATCATAAATACTTTTTTCTTTATGGGTTTGAATATTAATACTTTTGTCTTTATGGGGTTGAATATAGATTAGTTAATAAAATGATTCATTTTTTCTTAACTGTTAAAAATGTGAAGAGTATTCTAATAAGGCATTAACTCAAAAACTACAATAATACAGATGTCACCATTTCTATTTTATAGATGAAGAAAATGAAGTTCAAAAATACCTACATATTCAAAGTCACACAGATACATTATTGAATCCAACTCTAGCCTGTGGTTGCTGGAAGGAAACTAAGTATTGTAGAAGCCATGGGAGGGCAAAGTATTGCACAAAGGAAGAGAATGACTACAGATTTCATATGGCACATTTGTAGTTTACCAGTGTCTTTGGAAAAAGTAGTTTAAGTTATATCACAACAGCTGAATGGAGTTGGTTAATCAAGTAGACACAAAAATATGCTTTCGCAGAAGACTCATTTTTGTTTTTAAACAGGAAAGGGGGTAAATGCATGTGTGTAGTATAATGGGGTGATTGAGATGAAAGAAGGCAAGTTGAAATTTTTGGGTTGTTTCTGTTTCAGCCAGGAGTTTTGATTATTGATTGGGGAAACTTGTCTGCAGAATTTAAGAAAGTAAAGATAGACTACATCAGAAATTAGCTAAGCTATATTTTATTTAAATGGAAAGTTTAGACGCAAACCTAATGATGAATTTAAAATCTAGTTTTTTTTTGTTTGTTTTACGGAGATCTATTTTCAGTTTATTTTTTACTCCTAACGTTAAGCCTACACTAAAAGATCGACAAATAGTATGAAGAAAAAGGCACACTATTCCTGAATGGTTGAGAAAAGGGCTGTAAACAATCATCGAATCTCAAAATGTCCATTTCACTCCAATACATTACATTTTAGATACTCTGTTCGTTACCCCAGATCAGGGAAAATAGAAAGTGGATCTTTGTATAAATTAAGGAGAAGGAGGAGGAAGTAGGGTGGGAGTGTGGGCAGGAGGGATGGTAGGGTGGGAAGTATCACTATGTTTCTAAATCTGTATATATGAAATACATGAAACTTGCATACCTTGAATAAAATTTTTAAAAAAGATAAAAAAATGTCAAGGGTCAATTGGGAAATCAGGACCAGTGAAAGATGTCCTGTCCAGCATGTAAAAAAAAAAAAATCTAGTTTGGTAAGAATACTTAAGACAGTATGTTCATATCTTAATGAAATTTAGGAATTGGAATTGGGAACTAAGTCACACTTCAAGTATGTTTATTAAATGCCTTTCCCCCTCAACAATATTGATTTTACTTATGTTTGGAATGGGTAGGTCACTTTGTCTTATGAAATACAGGCAGCTTAAGTATTTTAAAGGCATACTTTAGGGGAAACAAGTAACGATAACAGCAATACATTTCAGATTAGTAAGAGGACTTTGTTCTTTTCCAGGTGACCGTTTCAGATCAGTCATAGATGACGCCTGGTGGTTTGGAACAATTGAAAGCCAGGAACCTCTCCAGCCTGAGTACCCGGATAGTTTATTTCAGTGCTATAATGTTTGGTAAGGAAATTACTTGGGTTTCAGTTCAGTTAGACTTGCTTTGAATTTTTCATCACTTATTAATAAAAGGGGTAAAGACGTTGATTTTCAACACTGGAACAATTATTTTAATGTGATTTTTATAAAAAAGTGCTTTACAAGAGTTAGATTTTTTTTAATATAAAAATTTTTCTTCCTTAAAGCTGGGACAATGGAGATACAGAAAAAATGAGTCCTTGGGATATGGAGCTGATACCAAATAATGGTAAGTGTATGTTAGATTTTGGAGCTACTTTCTTAAGTAAGAAATCTGATTGCTAACTTGATACTGCATAGGGTTGTTGCAAGCATCAAATAGAAAGTTTTCAGAAATACTGATTGTGTACCTGCTGTTGACTCTCCAGCAGTAAGGGAAGAAGCCCTCTACAATGAACAAAATAAACCTAATCTTTGCCCACTTGGAATTGATAGTCTAAAATGGAATATTGAATTTAACTTATTATAATAAAATATGAAACTGTTTTGTTAATTATTGATTCCTAAAAAGCGAGCATTTAGGGAGGCAAAGAAATTTTTAACTCCAGCAGAATAGTTAGACTCTAGAAAGTAACATAATAGTGAAGAAAGGTCAGACTTTTGAGTTAGAGTGACATAGTTACATTTTGACTGTGACATTTTCTGTGTGATCTTGACAAATTCCATGACGTTTCAAAATCCCAGATTCTTAAGACTCTGCCTTTGAAATTATTGGGCTGATTTGAGGGCTAACATTTTATGTGTAAAGTGCATATTACAGAGCCTAACACATGTCAGATGTCCGTGAAGAGGTACTTAGAATTAATAAGAGCCATCATCTTGCACGTGACCTGAGAATCAGGATTTGCAAGTTAGCTGTAGGCATGAATGTAACATTTTCCTTATACTTAGAAGAGATCTTCAGCTGAAGTCTGGAGAAAAGTTTTCTATCTCAACACCATTTTTGTTTCAATTCTTAAGAAATAAAACACGCAATTGTATATGCCTTAAAAAAAATACTCTAGATTACTAATCACGATGATTTATAGAGGATACGATTATGAGGACTTTTTTATTCTGCACATATACAACACAGCATATTATTTTCACTATCAGATAAAAATAAAGGTATTTATGGGCTAGTGTTTTAGCTTATTACTTGAAAACACTTGCATCCCACATTAGAGTGCCCATATTGAATATCTGACTCTGGCTCCTAACTCCAAGTTAGTGGAGTTAGGATGTAGCAGCAGTGATGGCTCAAGTCACTGGGTTCCTGCCATACATGTGTAACACCTGGATTGAGTTCCCAGCTCCTGGCTTCCTGGCCCTTGCCATTGCAGATATATATGGAGTGAACCAGCAGATGAAAGTTTCTTCTCTGTCTCTTTCTCTCAAATTTTAGAAAAAATAAGATTTAAAAAAAAAAAAATTAAACATTTAATTTGTAACATAGTAGAAATAATCATTTACAATGAGATTATTCAGTAGTTAATCTAAAAAGTGCAAGAAAAGATTCGATTGGAGAAAATAAACACAACCTGGTAAATTTTAGAAATTAGAAAAATGATCATGCTGATATTTGTCAAAATTTTAGTCTTTGCAGGAATTGTCATTTTGAATATTCTGTACTACTGATACATTTCTCATGTCCCTGCTAATTTAGAGCTTTTCAAAAATAAGAAATAGGGTAGGCATTTGGTACTCTGATTTAAGACACCAGTGGGGACATCCACATCTCACATCAGACTGCCAAGTTTCAAGTCCAGGCTGTACTCCCAACTCCAGGTTCCTGCTGTGTACCATGGGAAGCAACAGGTGATAACTCAAGTACTTGGGACACTGCCACCCAGAAAGGAGGCCTACTAGATTGAGTTCTCAGTGGCTCTTGGCTTTGGTGTGGCCCAGCCCCTGTTTTTGTGGGCATTTTGGGAGTGAACCAGCATCCGGAAAATCTTCCTCTCTTAGTCTTTTGCTGTATATCTCTCCCTTTCAAAAAAAAAATAAAAATTTAAATAAAAATCCCAATATGTTAGTTTGTAACATTGTTACATGACTTAAGTTTTGGTTATGTCTCTCTTCCATGTTAGAGTTTGAAAGAAGTCACATTGCACTATTAGGAGCTCAATATTGGACTATGAGAAATGAAGCTAATAGGTGTAGTAATGCCTTGGTTATTTAAAAAAATGAATTATAACACTAGTTGATTTTGTTTCCCCATAGGTGCTTCAAAAAGTTCATGGGCAATTGTAATTAAATTTTATGTGGCGCAAAAAGTTTTTGAAATCTATGTATAGTTGTTTTCGTACCAGCATTTTCTGTGAACTTTTTGAATATAAATGCTTTCAGAAATTTCTTATACCCAAAACAGCTTTTAATTCAATTTGCCATAAACTTTTGACGTATCCTTATATATGTGTGTGTAAGGAGGTTTTTATTTTGTTTGATTCACATATGTATGTGCCCATAAAGTTTAGTTACGGTTTGCAAGAAGGAAGAATTCTGATTGGTAACAAACAATGGCCTATTTTCCAATATTTCTCTGATGAAGTCTAGTTTAAAGGGAAAAGTACTTGGCATATTTGTAGATTTTTATATTGCTACCAATAAATCTCTATTGATCTTACTTAAAATGTTAAAATTTAGTAGTACAGGAAAGTGTACCATCATCATTTAAGAGCAAAATGTATTAGAATTACCTGTATTATTCTCTCTTCTGCATTAAAAAAACTTGAAAGTCTTAGTACAGTCACCTTGTGTTTTATCAAAGTAAAAATGCAATTAAATTATAAAACTCATGAAACTTGGAAATTTGCATCATTTCATAGAATTGATTTCTGCTTCACCTGAAAACTTGATTATAAAGTGTTTTGAGATATAATTTTGGAAAATAATTATCTAGATTACTGTATTTTTAAAGGATAATTTATACTTAGCATCTTTTAAAAAATAAACTTTATTGACCCTGGAAATATACTGTCCTTTATGAAAATATTTACCAAATTTTTATATTTTAAGACAATAATCAGTTTTATTTTCTAAAGATAACCTAAATATTAATATTAACCTGCTTTTTCTGTCTCTGCATGTCAGCTGTATTTCCTGAAGAACTAGGTACCAGTGTTCCTTTAACTGATAACGAATGCAGATCATTAATCTATAAACCTCTTGATGGAGAATGGGGTACCAATCCCAGGGATGAAGAATGTGAAAGGATTGTGACAGGAATAAACCAGTTGATGACACTAGGTAAATATTAATAATAGCGTAGATATAGAAAAGCTTGCAAAAAGCACTGTTATTTGAGAGTTTTATCACAGTATCATAGATTTTTGAGCATTTTTCACTAGAACCTTTTTTTTTGAATGAGATTTTACATAAGATCTAAATATCCAAAACTGTTATAATGGTGTTATTCTAGCTGAATTTCAGAATGAGGGCCTTCTAGATTTTTGATTTTTAATTTTTAATATCTGAAAAATCTGGGTCCTCCACAACCCACTTTGAAAACCTTTGCTATTCAAGCTGATATGAGGTGAATTGGAGGAGAAGACTTGAAAGCTGAACACAGACACAGAAGAATCTTTTTAAGGGGATAGAAGAACGTATATAAACTACTTTGCTTCATTTGAAAAAAAAAAAAAAAGTAAATACTGACTATAAAACTTGGTTGTCTGAACTCTGGGTTCTCTAAGTAAATATAAACTCATGGGTTTATATCAACCCACTGTGTCTGTAACATATCAGCGTCGAAGAGTCTGGGAAGACATTAAAATGAATAAGAAGAGCTGGACACTCAGATTGAATGATATTCAAAATGGAAGTGTTTTATAAAATGGCAACACTTCATAGTTCTTCTACTTCTAAGGCTACTTTAAGTAGTTATGGCATTATTAAAACATGAAGTAGTTTAATATGTGAATGAGCAAAAAAATAGCTGTTTTGACTATGTTCTGGTTTTTAAAAACTTTACCAGTTTAATATATGCTATTAAGTTAGTAATTTTGAGTGAAATACTTCTGGGTTTGTTTTCTCTGTTTTCCTAATATTTCACAGAATAACATTGTAAAGATTTATAAGGTGATAAGTTTTGATAAAATCAAAGTTTGTATTTAAATGCAGTATATTACAACATAAATGGTAGAGTGGCTTTGTCAAAAACATGAAAATATATAGATTTAGGGATGGCCAGCTATCAGTTACAGAAATACATATGTTTTGTTTTTACTAGTCATAATTAATATATATTACCAGTCGTTTCTTCATACTGATGGGTCTATGCATTAAAAATATCCCTAGAATTTTGCTATGCTAGTATAGACGCAATAAAAGTGAAACTTATGTCAGCTGAACTATAGTGGCCTACAAATGGTTATTTGGATTAGGACTGAAGTTTTAATTCAGGCAGAATTCTTTAATAATTTTAAGCAACAAAAATACGTTTTAAAACTTATTTATTTATTTTAGATATTGCTTCAGCATTTGTGGCCCCTGTGGATCTGCAAGCCTATCCCATGTATTGCACAGTAGTGGCATATCCAACGGATCTAAGTACAATTAAACAAAGACTGGAAAACAGATTTTACAGGTTAGAACCATTTGATGTAGTTACTACCAAAGTAAAGCTATAATGATCCTTTCACCCATTTATTGCTTTATAGCATCGTTGTCTCAGTTTTAGATATTCACTGATACACTCATGAATTTTGGGAAATTGTAGAAGCTGTTCATATGGTTTGGAAATAGCACTGAGATTCTGCATTTCTCACGAGATCCCAGTAATGCCTTTATTGTTAGTCATAGATCACACGTGGAAATGATTCCTGGATAGTTGTTTTCCTAGGCGCTGATATGATTTGATGCTCATTGTCTTCACATTATGTTTTATAAAGCAAGCCAAAATATTTAAATTCTCCTAGATAACATAAAAGTACTTATTTGTTCATGGATTTTTCTTAATATAAAAGTTGTGTTCATTTTACTTGTATTTAGCCTATGAATAATTATGAAAGATGAAGTTGGAAAAGATGCAGATGAATTTTTATACGTGTAGTTTAGTGTGAAATAGAGTTACAGTTAAAGACTAGATGAAATTTCTTTTTTTTTTTTAAAAAAGATTTCTTTTATTTATTTGAAAGAGTTACACAGAGAGAGAGGTCTTTCATCTGCTGGTTCACTCCCCAGATGGCCACAGCGGCCGGAGCTGCACCAATCCGAAGCCAGGAGCCAGGAGCTTCTTCTGGTCTCCCATGTGGGTGCAGGGGTCCAAGCACTTGGGCCATTTTGTACTGCTATGCTAGGCCATAGCAGAGAGCTGGATTGGAAGAGGAGCAGCCAGGACAAGAACCACTGCCCATATGGGATGCCGGTGCTTCAGGCCAGGGCTTTAATCCGCTGCACCATAGCACTGGCCCCTAGGAGAAATTTCAGTTTATTTGCATCTCAGTTAAAAATTTCAATAACAATGCATTCTTAGTCTTTGTAGGTTTATTTCCTAAAATGGTCAAAAAATAATTTTAAAACTTTATATAGAGCTTACATAATGAAATTTATTTGTAGTTTTGATTTTTCTTAAATATTTTTTGCTTAGCAAGCCAACATTGTATTTTCTGCTTTTCTCACTATTATTGGTTTATAGTAAAAGTTATAACTCAGAGATAGCCAGATGGAAGAGATTCTTGGGCCCGGGTTTTAGGTACAGGCACTAAGCTAGCTTTCATGACACCCTCCTAGCACTTGATATGTTCAGCAACCTTAGAAGGAAGCTTTCTGAGACTGATTATTCAAGACATTTTGGGTTTTTGTTTGTTTTTAACTGACACATAAAAAATATTTATGGTAGGAGATTGTATAATGTCCAAATTGTTTAAACATCTGTGTCCCCAAACATTTAATATTTTGGTACAAACATCCGAAATCCTATCTTTCAGTTGGTATTTTTTAATAGCAAAATATGTAAATATTAGCATTATTTTTAGTCACAGAGAATATCAGAACTTCCTATTGTTACCTGACTATCACTTAACACCTGTTAATTAACCTTTACCCATCCCTCTCTTCGTGGTCTCTGGTAGGCACCATTATACTCTTAACGTCTATGAGATCAATTTTTTTAATATTCCACATATAAGTGCTGTTGCAGTACTTGTCCTTCTGTACTTGGTTTATTTCAGTTAACACAGTGACCTCCATTTCCATCCATTTTGTCGAAAATGACAATTTCACCCCTTTTAAGGCTGAATAGTACTCCATTGTGTGTATATACCAGATTTTTAAATACATTAATACAGTTGATGGACTAGTGAGTTGTTTTCATTTCCTAGCTGTTATGAATAATGCTTCAATAAACATGAAAGTGCAGATTTTTCTTCAACATTGTGATTTCATTTCCTTTGGATGTGTACCCACAAGTGAGATTGCTGGATCATGTGATAGTTATATTTGTAGTTTTTTGAGGCACGTCTCCACTGTTGTCACAATGGCTATACCAGTTTTTATTCACTCCAGCAGTGATCAAAGATTTCCTTTTCTGCATATTTTTGCCAGCATTTATTGTTTGTCTTTTTGATAAATCGATCTAGCTGGAATGAGGTGGTGACACCTTTTTTTGATTTTAATTTGTATGTCTTTTTTTGAGAAATGTTTGTTTAAACCTACTGCCCATTTTTTAAATTGTTATTTTGCTTTTTTTCTATGGAGTTCCTTACTTTTCTGGTTAGTAATCTTTTATCAGATATATAGTTTAAACATGTGCTCTAGTTCTATAGGTTGTCTCCTATTCTGTTGGTTGCTTTATTGCCTGTGAAGACTCACTTGTTCATTTTTGCTTTGTTTCCTATGCTTTTGGGGTCTGCTTCCATCCCAGTGTCCTAAAGCATATGCCCTTTTTCTTCTAGAAGTTTCATGTTTCACATGCTGTAGCTAGGCCTTTAATCCATTTTGAGTTAATTTTTGCATCTGGTAGATATAGCATGTTTAGTTAGATTTTTCTGCATGTGGGTATCCAATTTTTCCAATACCATTTATTGCAGATGGTGTCCTTTTTCCAGGTTATCAGCATATTTGTCAAAGATCAGTTGAGGGTTTAATTCTAGTATCTCTATTCTGTTCCATTGCTATATGGATCTGTTTTGATGACAGCATCATGCTTTTAAATTACTGTTGCTTTGTAATATATTTTGAAGTCAAGTAGTATAATACCTCCTGCTTTGTTCTTTTGGCCCAGGATTGCTTTGGTTATTTGGAGTCATTTATGTTGACACATAAGTGTTAGTGGTGTTTTTTCTAGTTTTGTAAAAACTGTCACTGATGTTTTTTTAATTTGTGTTTGTTTATTTGAGAGACATGTGACAGAAAGCTCCCTTGTTTTGCTTCACTTGCCAAATTGTCAAAACAGCTGGGGCTGAGCTAGGCCAAAGCTAGCAGTTAAGAATGCAATCTAAGTTTCCTACTTTTTGAGTAGGGCTCCTACTGTTTGACTGTCAGTTACTGCCTTCCAGGGTCCCCATTAACAGGAGGCTAGAACTGAGAGCAAAGCCAGGATTTGAACCCGGGCACTCTGATATGGGGTGTATGCATCCCAACTAATACATTAATCCACTAGGTTAAATGCACATCACTGTCCCTATCACTAGTATTTTAATAGGGATTGCACTGAATCTGTAAGTCACTTTAGGTCGTGTGGGCATTCTACTGATGTTGATTCTTCCATACATAAATATGGGTTGTTTACATTTCTTTGTGTTCTCTTCAGTTTTTCATCAGTGTTTTATAATTTTCATTGTAGATTTCATTTATCTCTTTGGTTAGATTGATTAATTCCTATCTAATGGGAATAAGATTGCTTTCTTGATTGCTTTATCAAATGTTTCATTTGTGTAAGAACACTACTGATTTTTGTATATTGATGTTATATCCTGCAACTTCTGTGGATTCATTTATTCTAACAATTTTCTGTATATAAGATATGTCACCTGCAAGCAGTGACAGTTTGAGTTCCTTCTTTCTAATTTGGATACGCTTATATCTTTATCTTTTCTAATTTCTCTGGCTTGAATTTCCAGTACTATGTTGAATAAAAGTAGTGAAAGTAGGCATCCTTGCCTTGTTGCGAATCTTAGAAAGTTTTCCGCTTTTCTCTGTTTAGTTTGAAGTTAGCTATTGGCTTGTTATATGTCTCCTTTATTTTGTTGAAGTACATGTCCAATTTGTTCCATTTTTATTAGAAAAGGATATTGGATTTTATCTAATTCCTTTTGTATGTCTGTTGAGATGACTATATAATGTGTGTCCATCACTCTGCTGATGTGGTGTATTATATTTCTTGGTTTGCATATGTTGACCTATCTGTGTAACCCTGGGTTGACTGGATCCTGGTTAATAATATTTTTAACATGTTGTTGGGTTCGGTTTGCTAGGATTTTGGCATCAACTTAAGACTGGTCTTATAAAATGAATTTGAAAGAATTCTCTCCTAGTTTTTTAAGTGGTTTCAGAATAAGCATTATTCTTCTTCAAATATTTGATAGAACTCAGCAGTAAAATCATCTGGCCTGGAATTTTCCCTTGATTCTAATGATTCAGTCTTGGTGTTATTGGTCTGTTTAGGAGTTCTGTGTGTTTATAGTTTGATCTTGGTAGGGTGTGTGTATCCAGAAATTCATCCATTTATTCTAGGTTATCAAATTTGTTGCCATATAAAAATTCATAGTAATCTCTGACAACCCTCTTTGTTTCTCTTGTGTCATAGTGTTTTCCTTTTTATATCTGATTTTATGTATTTGAATCTTCTATTAATCTAAGTAAGTTTGTCAATTGTTTTCAAAGAATCTCCATTTTTTTTCTTTTGCTATTCTTTAGTTTCATGTCATTTGTGCTCTGAGTATTATTTCTTTTCCTTATACTCATTTTGGGCTTGATGTATTCCTGTTTTTCTAGTTCTTGATTTATAGCAATGAATTATTTATTTAAGATTTTCTGCTTTTTTGATGTATAGAATGATTGATTCCCATAAACTTCCCTCTTAGTACTGCTCTTTTTTTTTTTTTTTTTTTTACATCCCATATGTTGTATTGTGGTCAGGAGAGAGACTTAGCATGATTGCCTTTTTTTTTTTTTTTTAACTTATTGAAACTTACTTTGTCACTAACCAAATGATTTATCCTTGAGAATGTTCCATGTGTGCAATTGAGAAAAATGTTCATTCTGTAGATATCAGATAGAATGTGCTGTAGATGTCTATTAAGTCCAATTGATATAAGGTATATTTTAGCTCTGCTATTTCATCCTGTCTGAATGATCTTCCCATTTCAGAAAGAGGGGTATAAAAGTCTTCTACTATTATTGTATTGGACTCTGTCTCTCTCTCTTTGGATCTATTAACATTTGTTTTGTAATTTTGGTACTTCAGTATTGGGTGCATATCTATTTATAATAGTTATTTCCTATTGTTGAATTGAACCCTTTATCATTGTGTAGTGGCCTTTGTTTACCTGCCTTGTCTCCTTTTCTGCTTTTGATGTGGCCTATTTTATCTCATACCAATATGATTACTCCTTATTCCATCCTTCACTTTCACCCTGTCTGTAAAGGTAAAGTGAATTTTTTGTTAACAGTAACTATATGTTTGCATTGTCTTGTTTTGTTTTTGTTTTTCTAATGTATTTATTTGCATGGCAGAGGGAGAGACAGTTGACAGAGAGGCCCCATCTACTGGTTTACTTCCCAGATGTCTGTGATGGCTAACTTTGTGCCTGGCCAGAGCCAAGTGCCTGAAACTCAATTCAGGAACTCACTCCCTTGAGCTGGCATGATGCCTCCCTTCCTAGTGTCTGTATTAGGAGAAAGCTGGAGTCAGGGGCTATAATCTGATCTAGAACCTCAGGTACCTAATAGAATGTCCTGATGGTCTATAGACATCTTTTGTGATGTCTTAACTGCTAGGCTAAATGCTCTTTGTGTCTTGTTTTTTTTTTTTTTTTTTTTTTTGACAGGCAGAGTGGACAGTGAGAGAGAGACAGAGAGAAAGGTCTTCCTTTGCCGTTGGTTCACCCTCCAATGGCCGCCGCTGCAGCCGGCGCACCGCGCTGATCCGATGGCAGGAGCCAGGAGCCAGGTGCTTTTCCTGGTCTCCCATGGGGTGCAGGGCCCAAGCACCTGGGCCATCCTCCACTGCACTCCCTGGCCATAGCAGAGAGCTGGCCTGGAAGAGGGGCAACCGGGACAGAATCCGGCGCCCCAACCGGGACTAGAACCCGGTGTGCCGGCGCCGCAAGGTGGAGGATTAGCCTATTGAGCCACGGCGCCGGCCTGTGTCTTGTTTTTTTTAATTCACTTGGTAACTCTTTTAATTGGAGAATTTAATTCATTTACATTTAGGGTAATTATTAATAGCTAAGGACTTAATACTGCCATTTTGATACTTGTCTGGTTTTAGTGTGTTTTTTTTTTTCTTTTTCTCCTCTTTCAATCTTCTGTTACAGTTAAATGAACTTCTAGTAAGGTGTTTTGATACCTTATTATTTTTTGATAAGTCTGTTAAATATTCTTGCTTTGTGGTTACTATGAGGCTTATAAAAGAAAGAGAAACAAAGAAAAAATACTGTTAAAGAACTCTGCATTTTTACTGTTTCTCTTCCAGTTCTGAATTATCACATCTTTATTTGCCTGTCTCTTAACATATTAATACATTCATTATCATTTAAAATTATTTGGCTTTTTAGTCTTCATACTAAAGATATGAATGGTTTCCACACCATGTTTACTATAAGCATTCTGAATTTGCATAGATACTCTTACTAGTGAATTTTCTACCTGCTGTTTTTTTGTTTTTGCTTGCCAGTTTCTCTTTTTTTCAATTTAAAGAACTCCTTTTAGCGTTTCTCATAAGCCAGATATAGTAATGGTAAATTCTCTCAACTTTTGTTTATATAGGAATGTCTTTCTGTCTCCTTATCTGAGGGACTGCTTAAATGTGTGCAGTATTCTTGGCTGGCAGTTTTTTCCTTCAGTGTTATAAAAGTTCCATCTCAGTCCTTCCTGGCTTGTAAGATTTCTGCTGAGAAGTCTGCAGAAAGGCAATTTGGGACCCCTTTTACATGTGTTTGCTTCTTTTGTCTTGCAGTTTTGAGAAGCTGCACTTTATTCTTTTAAGAACTTGATTACAAAATGTCTTGCTGTAGACTTTATTGGTGATTTCTTACCTTCCTGTACCTGGATAGTTGTATCTTTCTTTTGATTTGGGAAGTTTCTTGTTATTTTTCCCTTTTGATATCAATCCCCCTAAAATTTATATGAAAATGTGGCCCTTTGAAGTTCCCCAGAAGTGCCATTTGGGGTGCCACATACGCTACTGGAATTTGGAGTACCATATGATATCACCATATGTTTATTAATAAATCCCCAATATTAATAAGCCCGAAAGGGTTCTTGCCTAATATTTAGAGAAGAATTCTAAATACCGGCATAAATAAATGAGGCAGCATGGTACGTTTTAGGCTTTTATTTAGTGAGAAAGATGCATAGGAGAGTGAGAGCTTTATTTAATAGAGAGAGGTAAATCTGGGTTCATACTGAGCACTAGGAACCAGCCACGTGGAAGAGCATCTAGGCCAGGAAACCTAGGGCAAGCCCCCTCCTGGCAAGAAGCCAGGGAAAAGAAGAGCAGGAGGATATAGTGCATCCCAGGCTTTTAACCCACTTCCAAAGGGGAGTGGTTAATTAACCTGATAAGCTGGTGGGCACCCAGGTGTGGCCAGGTAGGGGGATGAGGTCACACAGGGACATGGTGAAGGCGTGGCCTTCCAGCTCACAAACCTAATTGATTTTAACCTGTTTGCCTGCCTACTTCACTTTGAGTATTTTTTCTACTCACTTTGGCATTCTCAAGTCCCTCTTGAACCATAGTATCTCAAATACTTGCACGTAATGTACTGTCTCAAATTTCCTGTTAGCTTTCTTCATTCCTCTTGATTCATGTTTTTCTCCCCAAAACTATGTTTCCAAGTCACCTTAGAACAGTTGTCTTAAATTCTTCACCTCAGCATTTGACAATGTTAGATCCAAGATGGTTTGGATTTTGTACTTTATTTTGTTCATTAGGGTAAGGTAAGGTCTTGGTTCCATGGAAGTTTTTTTACACTTACTGTATAATATAATTTGCACATTGAAGGATTAGTTATTTTTTCCAGTCTTTGTAATCTAGCTTTTTTTTTGGGGGGGGGGGGGGCTGTTCTTCCAGAAATTTTAAGGAGTCCACTTACTTTGTCTGAGCCTATACATGCTTCTGAACTTGAGCAGTAGGTGGTGCTACAAAGTGGTTTTATTCAAGTTTGCTGCCACTGACTCAGTACCATCCTGAGTTCTAATTTGCCCCAATTAATAATTGATGTGCTGCTCAAGAGTGAAAAGATGGAACATAGTATTTATGTTAAAGATCTTTAAAAAGTTCATGGGAAATGCATATTATGAAAGAGCTATACATGGATTTCAAAATTTTTTACACCAAAATCAACTTAGCTTCTAGGCCCCCTTTCCATGAACTTTTATATGGATGAATATAAATTAGAAATTGCCTGTGTTCCAGCCTAATCATAGAATTACAAACCTGAGTTCTATTCTTGTATAACGATGCCTTCATGTACTATTTCACTATTTAAAACTTTTTTGCTTCCTCTTTTATTCAGTAGTTTGACTTCTTACAGTTTGTGTTTTTCTTCTCTGATACTTCTAGCTCAGTCTCTTATTAAACTGTTACTTCAGTTTGTCCTTCTAGTAGATTTTATTTCCACACAGTTTTCTCAGTGGTGCACTGAAGATGTCTGTGACTCTGATAGTAGAATGAGGAATCTGTTTCAAATGTACAGAAGTTTTTGTGCATACTTCTGTATCCACAATTATATATATTTGTTTATTCACTACAATTATATTACTGTTTGCAAATCAGATTTTCCAAGTCTTTTTTTTATTAAATTAGGCCAGATATTGATGATATTCTTAGTGGTAATCTTTGGATTTTTCTTTACTTTGAAAAATATAAAACACTAGAATTTATTTTAGCATTGTCAGTGAAGTGTTTATCTGAAAATAATTGTCATTTATTTGTGTTTCTTAGTAATCCAGCAAACTCACTGTGTTTTTATACTTTTGTTTCTAAGATGCGAGGCTGTGAATCACCTTTTAGTTTTATCACTTGATTACTTTAAGATAAATGATTAAAATTGTTTGTTTTTATTTAGTTATTATTGCTCCTCTCTTTCCCCAATACAAAATAGTATTTGCTCTTTTGAAAATGGCATTGTTAAATGTGAGTTTTGCAATTGATTTAATACTAAAATTGAAAAGACAGAATGTATTGGTTTTAAATTATATACACATTTCTAAATAGAAGAAGGTTAAGACTTCTGTATTTTGTTTTTTTAAAGGCGGGTTTCTTCCCTAATGTGGGAAGTTCGATATATAGAGCACAATACACGAACGTTTAATGAGCCTGGAAGCCCCATTGTGAAATCTGCTAAATTTGTGACAGATCTTCTTCTACACTTTATAAAGTGAGTTTTCCATGCTTATTTATAAAGGCTCTAATAATTTATGGTACTGGTTTAAATTAAAAGTTTAAAGTGTCAAATGTCAATACAAAATGCAGTCATTTTATATGCAAAATGTCACATACTATTTACAGTATCAGAACCATATACTGTCTAAATAAAAAGCATTTGGTTATTTCAGTGGCTAATAAAATCATAAAAATTGTGGTACAGTTGTGTTCTTCAGTTAAACAACTTAGAGCCCTCTATCCAACTATTGGATAATAATAGTAAAGATTTATTAAACATGTAATATTTTACTCATAGTAGCCAAATATTATTATAGGCGGCAGGGATCATTATCTGGAATTTCCAGTTGAGGAAACTAAGGGTTTTAGAGATTTACTTGTGCACAGTAAGTATCTGCCATTTGATTTGGGACCGTTTCATCCTCTTTTTTAGAAATTTTCTTGTTTATTTGAAAGGCACAGTTAAAGAGTTATGGTAGAGAGAGGTCTTCCATCCTCTTGTTCACTTCCAAAAGGAGTGCCACTGCCAGGGCTGTCCAGGCCAAAGCCAAGAGCCAGAAACCAGGTGTCTTATGTAGGTGACAGGATCCTAAGCACTTGGGCCATCTTCCTGCTTTCCTGGGCCCATTAGCAGGGAGCTGGAATGGAAATGGAGCATCTGGGATTGAGGCACATATGAGATGCTAGTGTTGCAGATGGTAGCTTAACGCACTACACCATGCCAGCCCTGAGACCTTTTCATGTAATGCTGTATTGCTTTCAAATTTGTAAACTGAAATAGAACTTTCAAGATGCTTCCTCAAAATTCGTTTACCTCTTAATTATTGATCCAGTAGCAGGAATGATAATTTAAGGCAGAAGCATGTTACCACCTAATTTAATTTTCTGATTTTAGGTATACATAGAATGAAATGAACCTTCCAAATTGAAGCCAGAAAAATAAATCATTTATTTTGTGCAAAAGACAGCTCTAATTTCATATTAATGTTATTATTCATATTGGATAATTTTTTTCTGGTTAAGAGGGTTAAGAGGCGATAGCTGGTTTTTAAAAGTTTTCTCAGCTGTTATCACCTTTCATTTTTACATAAAGGGCATTAGTTAGGCTTTTTGTCTGCCCCCCCCCCTTTTTTTTTTTTGACAGGCAGAATGGACAGAGAGAGAGAGAGAGAGAGAGAAAGGTCTTCCTTTGCCATTGGTTCACCCTCCAATGGCCGCCGCGGCCGGCGCGCTGTGGCCGGTGCACCGCGCTCATCCGAAGGCAGGAGCCAGGTGCTTCTCCTGGTCTCCCATGGGGTGCAGGGCCCAAGCACTTGGGCCATCCTCCACTGCATTCCCTGGCCATAGCGGGAGAAGCTGGGCCTGGAAGAAGGGGCAACCGGGGAGAAGAATCCCGGCACCCCCGACCGGGACTAGAACCCGGTGTGCCAGCGCCGCAGGCGGAGGATTAGCCTATTGAGCTGCGGCGCCGGCTTTGTCTGCTTTTTAAAACCCATCTCCAGGGGCTGGCGCTGTGGCATAGTGGGCTAAGGCTCTGCCTGTGGCACTGGCATCCCATATGGATGCCAGTTTCTGTCCCAGCTGCTCCTCTTCCAATCCAGCTCTCTGCTATGGCCTGGGAAAGCAGTAGATGACCCAAGTGCTTGGGCTGCTACAACTGTGTAGGAGACCGTAAGAAGCTCCTGGCTCCTGGCTTCGGTTTTGCCCAGTTCTAGCCATTGCAGCCATTTGGGGAGTGAACCAGTGGATGGAAGACTTTTCTCTGTATCTCCCTTTCTCTATCTATAACTCTACCTCTCAAGCAAACAAATAAATCTTTAAATAAATAAACTGCAAATCCAGTTTCATTCTCATTGCTAATCATAATCTTAGGGTTTTCTTTCCTGGAGTACTGTTTTGTTTTTTTGCTAAAAAATACAGGTAATTTTAGTATAAGGAAACATCAAATAAAATTAGTAAGGTAAACTTTTTGCCCTTCTTCTACCTTATTCTCTGAAAAATATTCAGGGTTTTTTATTTTTATTTTATTTTTTAAAAACATTTATTCATTTATTCAAGAGGCAGAGAGCTTCCATCTGCTGGTTCACTCCCCAAATGGCTACAATGACTAGGGCTGGTCCAGGCTGAATCCAGGAACCACAGACTTCCTCTGGATCTCCCACGTGGGTGCTGGGGCCCAAGGACTTGGGCCATCCTCTGCTGCTTTCCCAGGCACATTAACAGGGAGCTGGATCAAAAGTGGAGTAGCTGGGACTCCAGCTGCCACTCATGGGATGCTGGCACTGCCTGCCATGGTTTTAGCCAGCTGAGCCACAGTGTTAGCCCCAGAAATCTTCAGTTTTTCAAATGGTTTTGGGGCTATTTTTTTGCTATACTTTTACTTAAATGAAATTAGTAATCAAGCCTTAGCTACTCCTGAAGTCTGTTCTGTTGAACCAGTAGTCCAGTAATATATATAGTACTGTTCATATTTCTGTGAAACTAATTTAGATGAAAAATATTTTAACTTTTGATATAATCCATGGAAGTAGAAATATTCTTTGAGATATTTACCTTGAAATGCTTTTGAAATATAAATTAATATGTAAAGCATATTATATATTTATAAAAGGTAATTCCTCCCTGGCATTTACAAAATTTATGTCACTGGGCTGGCCTTGTGGTGTAGTGTGTAAAGCTGAGGCCTACAATGTCAGCGTCTCATATGGGTGCTGGTTTATGTCCTGACTGCACCAATTCCAATCCAGCTCTCTGCTAATGGCCCGGGGAATAAAATTGAAGATGGTCCAAATATTGGGCCCTGCTGTCCGTTTGGGAGACTTGGATGAAGATGAAGCTCCTGGTTCCTGACTTCAACCTGTCCTATCTCTGTCTGAACATCTCTGTTCAGATGTTGCAGCCATCCGAATCAGTGAATGGAAGATCTCTCTTTCTCTCTTTGTCTCTTCCTCTTCTCTTTCAAAATAAATAAATCTTTTTAAAAAATATATCATTTATTAAAAATCATATCTGACACCAATTTTTAAGATGTAAAGTATGCCTTGAAATTTTGTTAAATTATTTGCCATGTAAAGTAAAATGATATGGTAGATACTTGGAGATAGAAATAATAGTATTTTTCCCTTAGTAGTATAATTTTACAAGATAGATAAATATGAAAGAAATGTAAGGAAAATTGAAAGTAACGAGAATTGTTTGAAAATTTAGATGGACATAGGGTGTTTTCTAGCTTTGGTGATTGGAAGTTCAGAGAACTAGATTAAGAAAATGTTATACAACACAGATACTTCTAGATTTAGGAAAAGCTAATTGAAAGAAATATTATTTCAGGGACAAGGAGTGGCTTGAGAAATTATTAACAGAAATTTAAATAGTAATTTAAGTTTGATAAAGTAGATAGAGAGTTACATGAATGAAGTCAGGAATATAATGCTGTGAATGTGAGTTGGAACCAGATCATAGATGGCTTTGAATGCCAATCTAAGAAACTAGACTTAAATATGAGTTCTGGGATCACTGGGCTGTTGAAAGTATTTTAACATGAATTAACTTGTTTTACAGTTTACCTCAGAAACACTCATTTGTCTGTAATGTCTTTAAGTGATAGAGGAGAGACAAAAAACTTAAGTAGCAGTTTTGCTGCCAAAGTTGACCAAGTAAGAGTTCAGGTAATATGGGCTTAGTTTATAAAAATGAGAAGGGAACAGATACCAAGAGATGTTTGAGGATAGAATTCATAGGGCTTGACCATTTAAAAGAGCAAACAAACCATGGAAGTGAAAAATCAAGACCTCATTATTCTAAGAATGATATTCTAACATAAAAAAGAAAATGGAGGAATAGTAGGGAGTGAATTGGGTTTAAATGTGGAATTTCAGGCGATAGTAGGATGTTCAAGTATCAGGACATGTAATAGGGATGTGCAATTCATTTATACAGATAATTGCAGATTAATAAGGTTATCAGAACAAAAGGTACAGCATTAAGAGATGACTAGGACAAGATTTTAGGGAATACCTACACTTAAGAATGAAAGAAAGAAGGCATTGGCAGATGGGAGGTATATTAGCTTTACTCTGAAGACTGATGAATGGAAGAAGACATCCCAGGCACAGCAGTTGTTTGAACAAGACTGAGAAGTGAGAATTGATTTTACTGTAGTGAAGTAGTCAGGCCAGAGCAGAGGCTCTAAATAGACTAGAACAGAAGAGGTAGAGTAAATGTGTGTGACTAGAGCCAACCAATGGAGATGGCCTGCAGCTTCAACTTCTATTTTAGAATTTGGCTTTAGGAATAGATTTTATGGGAAAAATGTTCATGGCTCTAATGTTATATATTAACCTATTCTTCTTGTCATTTAGGGATCAGACTTGTTATAACATGATTCCACTTTATAATTCAATGAAGAAAAAAGTCTTATCTGACTCTGAGGTTTGTGATATTTCATTACAATCACTACATTGGTATTTTTATATAAAAAGAAATTTACACAGTGAAGTTTTTCAGAAAAAAAGCCGTTATTTTGTTATTGTCATTATTTTTTTAAAATGGGGAGAAGACTTTGTAATGAGTCCATAATATGCTGCATATATATTGCAGTATTTTAAAAGTATAAATCCACAAGTTGTACTTTCGAAATTTATATTTATTAAATAAAAGTTTAAAAAATAAAAAAATTAAATTAAAAAAATAAAGGAAATTATTGGTAATTAAACAACTACAGAGCATAATGAAACCTAGAGTATTTTATGAACCTGATAAATTCTTGCCTCAAAGGAAGAAGAGAAAGATGCTGATGTACCAGGAACTTCTACCCGAAAAAGGAAGGTAATATATTATTCTTTTAGCAGAAATATTTTATATAAAATATTAGTTTTTTTTAAAAACTATTAGACATATTAAGTATTACTTCCAAATCAGATTAAATCACAAAAGGCATGTTTTTGAGAACTAGCTGAATGATATTACAAGATGAAAATCCCTAAACCACAATCCAAAATACTCCAAAATCTGAAACTGTGCACCAGTCTGACACCCCAAAATTTTGGACTTCAGAATGTTTTAGATTCTGAATTTTTGGATTAGGGTTGCTCAACTGATAATGTTAGTACAGGTTTTCTGAAATAAAAATGCTCTGGTATGAAGTATTTGGATAAGAGATATCCACCCAGTAGTTAATTATCAAAGGCTGCATTAAAATACATTTTTTATTGTATCAGTACTTTTTGGTAATATCGATGAACATTCTATTTTAGGAGCATCAGCCTAGAAGAAGATTGCGTAATAGAGCTCAATCTTATGATATTCAAGCATGGAAGAAACAATGTCAAGAATTATTAAATCTTATATTTCAATGTGAAGATTCAGAGCCTTTCCGACAGCCAGTAGATCTCCTTGAATATCCAGTAAGTGTTCTTAAAAATAATTTTTTTAACCTGTCAGTTTGCTATACGTTATGCATGGCAGTTGACAATTTTTTTTCTTCATTATATCATACATGTTATCATCATCTACTTGATAATACGGAGCATTTAAGTTGAATAATGTAGTAAAATGTAAGTCTCCAAAGAATTGGGTTATGGTCCTAAGTGTGCTTTTATTAGATACATAACTTTGAGCAAGTGACTTAGTTTCCTTCAGCGTTTTTTTGTTTTGTTTTGTTTTTTGTTTTTTATTTTATTTTATTTTATTTTATTTTATTTTATTTTATTTTATTTTATTTTATTTTATTTTTTTGACAGGCAGAGTGGACAGTGAGAGAGAGACAGACAGAGAGAAAGGTCTTCCTTTGCCGTTGGTTCACCCTCCAATGGCCGCCGCAGCCAGCGCGCTGCGGCTGGCGCACCGCGCTGATCCATTCCCATCTGCGTTTTTTAAAAATACTTCTTTTCTTCCTCACACTAATTCCATATATTTATTATAGCAGTTATCTAAGAGACAAGAATAATAATTCCTACTTTTTACAAGGTTATGGAGAAGAGATGAGTACACATTAATTAAAACAGTTCTAAATGGTAAGGCAATATAAACCAATGTAAAGTGGCATTATCATAGATATGTAGGCTGTGTCAGTGTATGATATTTATGGAATACATGTTAAAAGGAATTGAGTAAACATGATCCAAGTATTTATTTTGATTGATTTTTTTACTCTTTTAATAAATTATTAAAGGTTGTATAGTCTATATAGCATTTGTGGTTCCAATTAACAAGGAAGACTTTTGTAAGACAGTGAACTAGATGTGGTATCATTGAACTTAATTTTCTATATTTTATCTATGCATTCTAACAGTGATGGAAATGTAGAAATTTCATCAATCATAAAATGACCTTTTTTGTTACTTAAAAAACCAGAAACAAGGAGTTTTAAAATGTGAAAGAGAGATCTTTAATTCCAGCAATTTGATGAATGGAATTAATTTGAACCTCACTCACCAAAAAACACCCTCCAAGAACTGAGCTAATGTTACGGTGCTCTAGTTTTCAGTTCTTTGTTTTTGGAACTTATGGATTTCCCTTTCTTACATACTTGACTATAGTTTACCGATTGTTTGTATTCTGGGTTTTTCCCAGAAAATCAGAGATTAAAAAAGAAATCACTGTTTAGTTTCTAGAGGCATAAGTATTAACAGTATGCAAAGATAGGTGAGACATTGAGCCATAGTGAGGAAGGAATTTGGAACTGAGACCCTGCCCTAAATCTAGGATTGTTAAAGTGTGCACCTGGAATTGAAAAAAAGAATAGAGTAATTCCTTCTACATGGAAGAATGTCTCTCTCAGTCTCTAAGGTATTTTTATGTATAGAAAGCCTTCATGGAGGCCGGCGCCGCGGCTCACTAGGCTAATCCTCCACCTTGCAGCGCCGGCACACCGGGTTCTAGTCCCAGTCGGGGCGTCGGATTCTGTCCCGGTTGCCCCTCTTCCAGGCCAGCTCTCTGCTGTGGCCAGGGAGTGCAGTGGAGGATGGCCCAAGTACTTGGGCCCTGCACCCCATGGGAGACCAGGATGGGTGCCTTGCTCCTGCCATCAGATCGGCGTGGTGCGCTGGCTGCAGCGCGCTGGCCGTGGTGGCCATTGGAGGGTGAACCAATGGCAAAGGAAGACCTTTCTCTCTGTCTCTCTCTCTCTCACTGTCCACTCTGCCTGTCAAAAAAATTAAAAAAAAAAAAAAAAGAAAGCCTTCATGGAAAAACAAAAACAATAGTCCCTACTGAAGATGAACTAATGATTTAAAAAGAAAAAGAAGAAATCACCAGTCGTAAGACTGAGTGATGCATCATATATAAATACAGCAAAAAAAAAAAAAAAAAAAAAAACCAGAAACATTAACTTTTTTCCAAAAATTTTAATATCTAGAATTTTAAAATTATCTATATATTATTCTAAAATTACATACTTGTATCAATGTGTATTTTTTGTGTTTTTCAAAGAGACAGTATTCATTGTTAAGATGACTATGTGCCGGCACTGCGGCTCACTTGGCTAATCCTCCGCCTGAGGCACTGGCACCACGGGTTCTAGTCCTGGTTGGGGTGCCGGCTTCTGTCCTGGTTGCTCCTCTCCAGTCCAGCTTTCTGCTGTGGCCTGGGAAGGCAGTGGAGGATGGCCCAAGTCCTTGGACACTGCACACGCATGGGAGAGCAGGAGGAAGCACCTGGCTCCTGGCTTCAGATTGGCGCAGCGTCCTGGCCATAGCGGCCATTTGGGGGGTGAACCAATGGAAAAGGAAGACCTTTCTCTCTAACTCTGCCTGTCAAAAAAAAAAGAAAAAAAAAAAAAAAAGATGACTATGTGCCACCAGAAAAAAAATGCTTTTGGTTAAGGGGACAAATGAATTAGTAGCAAGTGGAAAAGAAAGACTTTTATTTTAGGGAAAAGTGGTATAAGGCATATTAAAACCAAGTAAATTAGGATTCTGAAAAATAAAATGTAGTTATTGAAATTAAACCTGCTGGGCAGCTGTACAATCAGATCAGCTCTCTAAAGGGATAATTAATTCAAAGATCTAGAGAAATGATATAGAATTTCCCACAGAAAGATGTAAAGAGTTGAAAGGTGTGAAAGAAAGATTTAGAGAGATAGTGGAGGAGCCAGCACTGTGGCAGAGCTGGTAAAGCTTCCACCTGCAGTGCCCATATCCCATATGGGTGCTGGTTTAAGACCTGGCTGCCCCACTTCTGATCCAGCTTCCTGTCAATGCACTTGGGAAAGCAGTAGAAGATGGGCCAAGTCCTTGGGCCCCTGCACCCACATGGGACACCTGGAGGAATCGCCTGGCTCCTACCTTCAGATAGGCACAGCTCCAACCATTGTGGTGTTTGGGGAGTAAATCAAGAAGAGCTCTCTTTGCCTCTCTGTAACTCTGCCTTTCAAATAATTAAACAAATCCTTAAAAAAAAATGGATAGAATGAGAAGGTCCAAAAATAGCTATCAGAAATTCCAGTGGGAGAAAATGAGATTAGGAGGGGGCAATATATGAGGAATTAATGCCTGAGGATTTTCATGGGTTGATAAACTGACAGAACGTGATTCCTGAGTGTGATATATACAAAAAAACTTTACATAGAATTATAATGAAAAATCAAAACTCTATAGACAAAAAGGAGAAGAAGACTGTCATACAGAAACAAATGGAAGAGGCTAGGATTGGAGTCGTTATACTAATGTTTCACTGAGTTTTATATTTAGGCTTTTGTTGACAGTGCCAGAACAAGAACCTGTAATTCCAGTGTACCACAGCTGTATGTGATGTTCTTAGAGAATAAGCAACTGAGTTTTTATATGAAGGAAATGGTTCCCTTCTTAAACCTAGGGAGCAAATACTCACAGGTGCTTTTAAAGGTTTGTAGAAAATGGAATTAAAGGATAAATTTATTTTGGTGTCAAAGTTTGGAAATTCATGTACCTTTTTCTTTAAGAAACATTTTTAATTTTATTTGAGAGGTACAGAGAGAAAGAGGCAGCTCTTATCAGCAGATTCACTCCCCAAATACCCACAACAGTCAAAGGTTAGCCAGGCCAAAACTGGGAACCAGAAACTCCTTCTGGGTCTCCCATGTGTGTGGCAGGGATCTTACTACTTGAGCTACCACCATATCCCCAAGGTGTACACTGGCAGGAAATTGGAATTGGGAACAAAACCAAGACTTGAACCCAGGCTTTCTGATAGGGTATGTGGATATCCCAGCCAGTGGCTTCACCACTAGGCCAAATGCCTGTCTCAGATTTTTAGTACTATGCATTTCCATGAACTTTTGGAGATCCCCTCTTACAACAATGTTGTCATCCCTTTTAAGTATTAAAAATAATGAGAACAATATTTAACAGGTATGATCCGTCCTAACTACCAGTTAAAAATCAACAAGGGTCTGAAACTGTGGCTTAGTGGGTTAGGCCGTCTGCAGTGTCAGCATCCCTTATGGGCACCAATTTGAGTCCTGGCTGCTCTGATCCAGCTCCCTGCTAATGCACGTGGGAAAGCAGCAGAAGATGGCCCCTCTTCCTTGGGACCCTCACCTACCTGGGAGACTCAGCAAAAACTCCTGGCTCCTGGATTACGCCTGACCTAGTCCTGGCCATTGTGGCCATTGGGGGAGTGAACCAGCAGATGTAAAATGTCTCTGTCTCTGTCTGTCTGTCTCTCTAACTATGCCTTTCAAATTAATAAATAAATCTTTAAAAAAAAGGTCAGCAAACAAAAAAACAGAAGAACCAAGAAAAAAAAATTTAGCCTCTTTGCTTTCCTGGTATCTCTGATGTAGGTATGTTGTTTTTTTTAATCACTATCACAGAGAAGGGAAAATTCAGTAATCTGTTTTTTATACTTTAGAATTGAAAATTAAGGCAGATCATATGTTTCCTATTTCAGGTTTTATATGAAAATATTAATTTGTGTGTATTTTTAAGGACTTGTTGTTTATTTGAAAGGCAGAGTTACAGAGAGGCAGAGAGAGAGAGAGAGCTCTTCTACCCATTGGTTCACTCCCCAAATGGCCACAATGGCCAGAGCTGGCCTGTCTGAAGCCAGGAGTCAGGAGCTTTTTCCGAGTCTTTCACATGGGTGCAGGGGCCCAAGGACTTGGGCCATCTTTTACTGCTTTCCCAGGCCATAGCAGGTAGCTGGATTGGAAGTGGAGCAGCTAAGTCTTGAACCAGCACCCATATGGGATGCCAGCACTGCAGGCACTTGCTTTACCTGCTATGCCACAGCGCCGGCCCCTTAATTTGTGTTCTTTTAGTCAGATACTCAAAGCAAGCATGCAACTTTTGATGAAGATTAATATGCTAAATATTCTGGCTATTTGAGTAGCTGTATATACTGAATGTGGAAACTCAAGATGTAAGACAATGGCCGGCGCAGCGGCTCACTAGGCTAATCCTCCGCCTTGCAGCACCGGCACACC